TCTTGGCTTCATAATCAAAATACAGTCCAGTCCTCAAAAGGCCAGGGTTTTTTTTCCTCAACAGCAAGGTCGCTTTACTTCTCTATACAGGTCTCGCTCAATATGATGGAAATAGTCCTTTTCAAGAACAATTTCTCTCCTCCATGTTCGTTCGAGAACCACAGCAAGGGCACAGCTTCTCCTTACTGTTCTGTGATCTTTAGGTCTCCATTTTTCTTCTTACATCTCCTCACCCTCCTGCTCTGTTTTTTTTTCCAGTGCAAGATACTAAAACTACATGCTATCAATTAACCTAAACATGGCAGCAGCATCTATCTTGTTTTGAATTCTTTCTTAAATACTACAAAATACGTCATCACAGAGGTGTAGCTATCCTGTGTAATTGGCCCAGGCCTGATGGTCAGCCTGTCCATCAACCTCAGAACCAATGATGGATTGGCTCTGAAACACAGGAGGGGGGCAGGGCTCCCTTTGCTGGAGAAGAAGAAGAAGGAGATACCCCCTAGGACTTCTCACAGCAGCCATCTTTGTGGTTTMTTGRTCCYRWYCCCCCACCACCAAAAAAATCAGACCAAGTAAAACCATGACAATGGGGAAATGGAAAATTGCAAAATGCAGCTCCATTCACTTCAGCTGCCACTGAAGACTTTCCTTCAAGCTTAACATTATTAAATGCAGTACTTACTAAGAATTGGAATTTTAAAAAGCACAATGAGATGGCTCTCATTTGGGGAGTAATGCATGTTTATATTTAAGGAGCAGGAAAACCTCCATGTAATTGTGCTGGGCATACAGAAACAAATATTGCTTGTGTATGGTCCCTGCACTGCAATAAGACTTCAGCACTGGTTCTAAACCCCCTTTCTTTAGGGGTGTGTTTTCTTGAGTCTGGCCCCCAGAAAGAACAACTGCCAGCTCAAATGTCTCAAACCATACACCTCCTGAGGGGAAAATACATCAGCTGAAAACCTACATGTTATGGTCATTTAAAATATTCTGTTAAGCTACAGTCAGTTGCAGTGTTCACTGAAGGATGTTAGGATATTAAGTGGGAAAAACGTTGCACTGTATTGTTTAACTGAGTCTCTGTTCCCATCTTATGTACTTGAATGTTGGTTGGCAGAGTGGAACATATGTTCATGTGGGTTTTTTATGTTATGTGTGGATTACTTTTTTTTTAAATAAATGAAGTTATATAACAATCCCACACAAATACTTGGTTGCAACATGTGAAGGGCTGGTTAAAATTCTCTTAGAATGCACCCTGGCTGCTGTATTTCATAGAGAATATTACACACAATCTGCCATTTACACCCAACTTTGTTTCAAGATTCATCTAAAACTTTAATTTAGCTTTAAAGTGTCATTATATATATTTGCAAATACAGGCTTGTGGAAACCTGAGAGATTTTTGTAGAGTTAAGTTTTTAATAATCATTCCAGTGTAACTGTTAGGGAACTTTACACTGCAGATCCTCAGTTTCCCACAAAGCTCACCAGCCACTCCTCATAAATGCCTCACTTTGGTGTTTTGCAGGCAGGTACACAGCTGTCTGCTTTGCATTAACACAGTTCTATGTATTTTTATATTTTGCAGTTCTTCCCATATGGAGATGCGTCAAAGTTTGCCCAGCACGCCTTCCGAACCTTTGATAAAAACGGAGATGGGACCATCGACTTCAGAGAGTTCATTTGTGCCCTGTCCATCACCTCACGAGGCAGTTTTGAGCAAAAGCTGAACTGGGCCTTCAACATGTACGACTTGGATGGTGATGGTAAAATTACAAGAGTGGAAATGCTGGAAATTATAGAGGTAAGACCAATGTGACACTCACAAACATCACAACATTAATAAAACCTGATTCCTTGTTCAGACTGTAGATTTTAGGCACACCAGAGGCTGTCTGATTAAATGCACACTGCACAATTCATCCTGCACTGACTGGTGCCCAAGTGGTATGAACACACTAATATGTTAATAGATGTAATCTTGGAGAATTGCAGAGGAGTACATATGTGCATTTAAGCTTTTAAATATCCAGAGATTTTTTTTTTCTTCCTGATGAATGGATTAACCATAAGAACAGCCAGCACAGGATTTACAAAACCCATCTCGAAGTCATTTGACACCCATGAAATTATTGGACTGGAGCTCAAGTAGCTGAAGCCTTACTGGAGATTAACTTCAGATGATTACAGAAATTTACAGGGATAACAACACACTATTTTAAGTGAGCTCTCACAGATGGGCTTTAAGATGACCACAACATATAAGAGGAAGGATAAAGTTTACTGCCTTCGTCATCTGCCGGCTACTTGCCACAGTAGTTAATACCAGATTGTGCCCACATGTACACACAGAAACCTATTTAAAGGTGATGACTTCTGAAACCAAGTATTCAGAATTTATGTGAAATATTTCAACTAAACAATTGATCCAGAGGGTAAGTCATGATAGTTCTACATTCTGAAACAGGAAGCCAAAGAAATCCATTCTGGGATGTAAAATGTAACCATCAAAATAAAGAAAGTAAAATATATTCTTCCTTATTTTAAGTATCTGGACATTGGATTCTAAGAAAAAAAAAAAAAAAAAAATCCTAAGAGAAACTTGCAATCATTTTATTGTTAGAACATATTTCCAGAATTTGATCACATCAAAACATTAAATTGAATTTTCCATTTGGTTTCTTTCCAAAGGCCATCTACAAAATGGTGGGCACTGTGATAATGATGAAAATGAATGAGGATGGTCTGACGCCTGAGCAACGGGTAGACAAGATCTTCAGTAAGATGGATAAGAACAAAGACGATCAGATCACACTGGATGAATTCAAAGAGGCTGCAAAGAGTGACCCATCCATTGTATTACTGCTGCAGTGTGACATTCAAAAATGAGCTTGTGTACGACGCGTCATAGACTGCACAGAAGTTTAATGTTCCATTCAGTTTGCAGCTATTTCCACACACACAAAAATTTGCTTGGACTACCTATAAATGGACTTGCTTCTTGTGTTTGAAACACTTGTGTGCATGAGAATGTCATTTGCTAAAGAATTTTAAAAGTATATATTATAAAAATAAACTGCCACAACGTGATGTGTGCAATGTCATTTCATAACAACCTCTTCCTCTGAAGCCTGTGCAGCAGGCCTGTGCTGCAGTGAATTATATTATTTATTGTTCTTGTTTTACTGATGCTAGCTCTGTGTCTCCTAGACTGAGTAATGTTAGTGACACTGAATTCCCATGGTAATGTTAACTGTTTATTATAAATCATGTCACCATTCTGCTGTAAAGTAGTACTGGACAGACAGAAGGGAAGAGCTCCTGGGCTCCCAAGTCTGATCCACACGTGCTTGTATTGTCAGTGGATATAAATGTACTTCATTTGCATGCCTTTTAGGTTTGCCTTAATTCTTACCACATTTGCATCCCTTCAATCTGGAAAGAGCTATGTCAGAGGAATGCAGTATATTAAAAACAAAAAAAAAAAAAGGAAAGAGCTATGTCAGAGGAATGCAGTATATTAAAAAAAAAAAAAAAAAAAAAAAAGAAAATCCTGCTAAAATTATCCCCTTAATTAAGAATATATATAAATATATATATATATAATGTTTAAAATATTGTTTTATTGCAAGTTTAAAGGTTTTATTGGAAGTGTATTGATCTTTGCCAGAATTTTCAAAAGCTTCCACAGAGGTTGCAATATATATGTCCCAAAATAAATTTATAACATTTGACCTTTTCCCCTAATTCTTATTTCATGTCTTCAGCATGGTAATAAAAAAAAGGAAAAGTTCAATCTCTTTAATTATCTGTCACTGTACACTGGGAAATATATATTTCATTATTGAAGCATGAAGAAAACTACTTTGCACTCACTCACTAGAAGAGTCGTATTATACAAAACAAAAAGTTGTAGTTCTTTATTTAGGGATGGAGCAGCTGTTGATGCTCTAAGATGCTACTGCTAAGATTTACCAGCATACTTATTAGACCTGTGCTGCTTTTCAAGCTGTGTGAGTCAAACACAGTTTATTTGCTTGGCCTAAACCTGGTCTTTTAATGTTTTTCCCTCCTGAAGTAAGAGGCTTTTCTCTTACCACATCACACCAAACTAATCTGTGTTTAATAGGAACAGACGTTAAAAATCACTACTGATCAAGTAACCATGAAGTATGATGATAAAGGAGGGAAAGTGAGGAGAACCAACTTTCTCTTCAATTCTATGTGCACAAACCAAGTTTCTATCGTGTGACAAGTTCTGTGCAGCCTTGGGAAAGAATAAAGAACTATCAGACTGAAGAAATTGCAGATAAAAACTTTGCTATGCCCCATTTCCCTATGCTTGAAACAGTTGGTTGCTTGCTGAATTTAAAGGAAAAAAAAACAACAATCTGAACATCTTAAAATTGCATGTTTGATATTTCTTCCTTACCTTATGAAGAAACAAGACCGTACTTTTAATAGCTAAAAATCAAACAATAAAACATGACACAAACCAAATAATTCTCTGTATTTTCAAATTTAAGAAGTGAAAGCCATTTTAAAATTAAAGGGAAAAGAAAACAAGCAACAATACCACAGCTTGCTAAGAACTGTTGTGGGGGGATCACAGAATCAATTGCTGCCACAGTCACAGCCATCCTCTCATAATTCAGTTTTTTCATATTCCAAACAAACATCAGAGGCAGAAATATCAACTACATTTTCTAATACCAGAATTTTACTTGGACTACACAGGTAATAGTCTTAGGAAACCATGGAGGAGTTATAACTCATGCATGTGGCTTAAAATACACGTTCTAGAAATTACATATTTCTGAGAATGATATGCCCACACTGAATACTTCTCAGGTTTTATGCCTCTGGTTTACATATATGAGAAGCAATCTCTCATTCCATGTTTCCCTGCACCTTGAATTTATGTAGCTGGACAGACTCCACTTCTTTTAGTGCAGCGTTAAGCAATGCACTGCTGTGCAAAATGGCTGACAACTCAAACACATTCAAACTCAGAAATGCAACAGCAGCACTGCAATCTTCTGTCTAGGTAGCCAGTACAGTAAATTCTCTACTAAAATATCAAGAATATGGTAGTTTTGAAACCTTAGTAGGATTGCTGCAAAAATAAGTGCATCCATGCAAGGGCTTCAATAATCGTTTATTCGGAATTAATCCTCCACCATGAAAATATGCTTATAATAATTACACATTCAGCAACACATCTTCATCAAGTACAGAGGTAGATTAGAATAAATACAATGTACTGGTTTGAAACAAAGACCAGAATTGTTGCCACCTCCTCCAATATTTCAAGTCTATAAAAATCCTAGGAGAAAGCTGAAGTGTTAGCTCAGTAGGAATGCACTAATTTTCCTTAAGCTATTTTCTCCACACAACTCATTATAGAAGTACTAATGAAGATAAATGCTTTACTCTTTCCTGCCTCTGCACTCTTGCCTTTTTTCTTTTTTTTTTTTTTTGGGGGGGATGGTGAAGAAAATCAGGAAGAAACAATGCAATGCCATTCTATCATCTCACACTGTAAAAGGGTTGGAAACATAATCCAATCCCATCATAAAATTGAGACAAGCCAAACGTGGCTTATGATCATGTCCTAGAATCAAAGAATGGTTTGAGTTGGAAGGGACCTTAAAGATGATCCAGTTCCACCCCTGCAGGACCACCTTCCACTAAAACAGGTTGCCCAGGGCCCCAGCCAACCTGATCTTGAACATTTCCAGAGATAGGTGTCCACAACTTCTTTTGACAACCTATTCCAGGGCCTCACCACCCTCGCAATAAAGAATTTACTCCTGATATCTACTGTCAGTTCAAAGCTGCTCTCCCTTGTCCTGTCACCCCATGCCCTTGTACAAGTCCCTCTCCAGCTCTCTTGTAGCCCCTTTAATTACTGGAAGATGCTATGAGGTCTTTCTGGAGCCTTCTCCAGGCTCAAGACACCCAACTCAGAGTTTGTCTCCACAGCAGAGGTGCTCCAGCCCTCTGAGCATTTCTGTGGCCTCCTCTGAACCTACTCCAACAGGTCCATGCTCTTCCTACCTGAGGACCCCAGGCCTGGCTGCACAACTCCAGGTGGGATCTCACCACAGCAGAGTGCTGGAATCACCTCCCTCGAGCTGCTGGCTCCAGACAAGTTTGCCAAGTATGCACTTAGCAAAGTGACCCCCAGTATCTTCACGTAATCCTAAAAGTGTTAAGTACCTTTAATTATGGAATTACAGAATTGTTCAGACTGGTAAGGTCCTTCACAGATCTCTTGCCCAGCTCCCTGCTTGAAGGAGATGGAGGAGTCTATTCAGTACACTCCAAAAACCTCCAGGGAGAGATTTTACAGCCTGTTTGCATAACACACTCAAATGCCTCTTTATCTTCATCATAACAATCTCTCCTCCTGGTTTCCTCAGCCAAAGCCTCCCCACTTCAATCAATGTCTGCTGTCTCTTGCACCACAATCAACAAAACAATTCCTCTCTGAGCCTGAATCCAAGGACACCTCACTGCCTCAGAGCCCCAAAATATGGAAACAACAGCGAGTTGGGGGGGAGCAAGTTTGGGGTGATTGACATCATCACCTGCAAAGATCATTGGAGAATTAAGACCCAATATGTTAATAAGACAGAACTTACAAAAGGTGAAGATCTCGTGACTCAGGGTCCATTTCAGCTGTAGCCTCAGGAGGAGGCTTTTGTCTACTCCAATGTACCAGGGGGCCTGTTAGACCTGTATTGAAGTTGTCTATTCTCATTCTCTTAATTTTGTCTGGCCTCTATTTCAGATTAGCCTGATGGATAAGGCATCACCAGGTGAAGGGGCCACAGGAGGAAGTGAGCAGGCTACACAGTGAGTGAACAACCAGGAGATGAACACATTAATTACAGAGATGCCACAGTGTCAGGACTCTCAGAAGTCTCAAACCTCCACTGTAGTGGAGAAGCAGGTGGAATCAGAACCCTGCAGGGTAATCAGCCAAGGGATTTTTAGTCAAAGGTCTGTTCACAATGAAGGCTGGAGCCTCCTCCACAAAGCAGGAGGTTCCACTTTCTGAATCATGTAGGACTGGAACCTTCTACAACAGATAGGGGCATCTGGAACAAGGTCAGACAACTCATGAGGAGGCAAAGGTTCCTTCTGGGCCAGAGAGGCCTCCTAAAGCAACACCTCCTGCATCCTGCATGAAGACCTCCTCTGTTAACAGGAAAAGCAGGATGGCTGTAACAAAATCCTCCCTTCTGTGGGGAGGGAGACAAAAGAGGGCCTGTTATGCAGACCAGAACTAACTCTGCTGGCTCCCAGGGGCACAGGTAAGAGACATTACTGAAAAACTCTCTAGGATAGTAAGGCACTCTGATTATTATCCACTATTCATTGTTCAAGCCGGCAGTGATGAAAAAACAAAGAGAATTCTGAGGGCAAAGGAGACTTCAGGGCCTTGAGTTGAAGGTSGAAGGATAAGAAGCACACATAATGATTTCCACAATCCTGGTAACAATGAATATATGGACAGGAATAGGCAGATCCACCAGGTGGTACATCTAGTGTGGGTCCAAGGCTGGTTTAAGCAAAAAAAGTTGTTTTTTTTTTACCAGGGGATGATCTATTCAACACCTGCTCTATTGACACCTGACAAGACACTTCTAGGTCAGAGAGGAAAAAGCTCAACACAGGAGCCAGGGGGCTCACTGACAAAACTTTAAACCAGCTTGGAAGGGAGAATGGGACGAAACCAGGCCTGACAGTGGTGACCGATGGGATGGTGAATCATAATTTGAGAAAATGAGCACTAATGGGATTCCTCAATCTCCTTCAGGTTTTTTGGCTGCAAAGCACCACACCTGAAATGTTTCTACACTAATGCACACAGCATGAGGAACAAACAAGGCCATCTCAAGCCTTTAGCCCAGAGATTTGGTATCACTGGTGTGACACTGGGTGGGAGAAACCCTGTGATTGGAGTTCCCTGTTGCATGGTTACAGGTTATTTTGGAGGGATGGGCAGAAGTGGGAGGGGCTGGCCATGGCACAGTTGAGACCCTCTTAGTGACAATCAAGGGGCAAACACACAATGCAGATGTCATCATGGGAGCCCACTACAGACCCCCTGGCCAGGCAGTGACACTGATGAACGATTCTTTGAGCAACTAAGGGACACTTCCACCTCAACTGCCCTTCTCCTTATGAGGGGCTTCAAGTTGCCAGAAATCAGCTGGAACATCAYACAGCTGATGGGTCTCTTCCAACTCAGCATTTCTTGTGCTTCTTTGATTCTATGACGTGTATTTCCTTCAAGTCTTACCTAGCTTCCATATTTTAAAGAAACCTACAAGTTTAATCCAATGCAGTGACTTGAAAACAAATTAGGCTACAAAGTCAAGTTAAAACTTACACAGTAATAAGGTTTTATTGAGGAACTGCTATTYAGTGAAGAAGTGCAATCTTGTTCTCTGAGTAGTCTCAATGGCTTTTGTAGCCCCATAACATCAAACAACAATAAAAAATCTCCCAAAATAACAAAAAAGAAAAACAGCTGAACTCTAAAAAGTGATTGTTTTTGAAGAGCTGACAACAATATCAAGTTCCTGAAGAAAAAAAGAACAAGAGAGAAAAAAAGGTTAATTTGGGGGAGTTTGAAAAATCTGGTTCTTCTTTCTCCCTCTTATCCCTAGTAAATACTTGTAATATTTAAATTAATCAAGCTAAGTGCTCTAGTATAGTCCCAGGGAAACGTGGGAGGGGAGGGAGGGCAGGGAGACCCAACAAAACACAGGTCTACATTGCTGCAGTAAAGTTACTATATTATTTCCCAAAATTCTTATTCTACTTCATTCTTACATATTGGGAAGACTTTAGTTTATTATAATGTAATGAACATTTAGAGACTTATGCTATGCCTGGAAACTCAGAGTGTGCAAGAACTAGTTTACTGGAATTAAGAATTGAGGTTTATAAAGATAGCTTGCTGGGTTTTGTATGCTCATGTCCAAAGACACYCAAACTCTTTAGGAAAGGAATGAAAGGACTTTTTTCCCACCAAGATAATATACTACAAATAAATTTTTCCCTTTTCTAATTATGGAGGTATAAGTTATAATATTTTCTTATGTTCAGCTACTGTGGTTTCACTGTAAAATAAATCAAACACATTTTACTGCATGTATTAATTAGCAYATATTTAAGGAAATAAAGCATAGCTAGGAAGAAAACAATATTTTTTTAACTTAATGCTAATTTTAAGTGTGTAGAGACACTAAAACATTACCACAAATATCAGTTCAAACGGTTTATTAAAATATTACTTCATAGTTATACAAAATATATTTCAAYTTTTCCAGAAGAAAGAGCAACAGATAAAAAAAATTCTATAGCTGGTGGCTAAAAATATCAACAGAACATTTAAAATTTTTAACTCATCCAAACTGTGCTTATTCTTTTTCTGTGCACACACAGTAATTCATTAAAAAATAATTAATAACAATACAGAAATATCTTCCTGAGAGTATGTTACAAAACATTTGCTTTTTCAGCATCAGGAAGCAATAATTTTATACATATTATTCCACATTTGTCTTCAACATTATGCCATATTCATACAGAGATACTTATTGATCTTCATCTCTGTCTTTCCTTTTTTGGGAATTCAATATTCTTTGGTCTCTCGGAGGGTCAGGCATACGGAGGATTCGAATATGGGGACTCGTAGGCAGAGAACTAAAAATAAAGTGTACATCATTTTAAACAGTGTTTCTTCTCCACAAATTTTAGTATTTCCATTTGATTCTTTCCATTACATATTTTCCTTTAAATAACTCCATCTTTTCTATTTGACAGTCTTAAAAAACAGTAACATGGGGTGAAGTTTGGGCTTCACTGAACTGATCCTGGACCCCAACTTCAGTAAAATATTGAGGTAAAGACAAGCACTCATTTCAATTACGTGATTTCTGTCAATTACACTACCTYAATCAGAGTAAAGGTTCTTTCATGAAAACCTCCAAATGAAGTAATGATGAAATACAAATAAGAATTTGCCTTACAGATCCTGAAGTGGCGCACATTATACACACATGTAATCAGTCACATTATACTAAGAATGAGCAAAATTACTAATCATTTATGCAGGCTTCTCCACTGAATATTCAAAATGGATTTTTCCCGAAGTTGCCCACATATTTTTGTTAAATTTAAAGTTTGCTGAACATGAAACATGTAACAATATAACAAAGCCAAACTGAACTTGAATTATTAAACTTCTAAACAGTAACCCTACAAAAAATTCCTGTATGTTTACTAGTTTCAAAAAATCTCCACAAAACCATTTCCACTGAAATAACAACAGATACCACTACCCTACTTTTTACATACTTTAGTATGTAAGGAAGACAATTAGAATAAATCAATTTCTTTTTGAAGACTACTGTAATTACCCTCTTCAGCTTCACTGCTTGCAATGCATTAACAGAGAGGAGCTGGCKGCACAAGGCTAGAGACATTACTGTCCCCTTAAGCTGGGAATGGCTCTACCAGGGATTTATGTGGAGGTTTTGAAAGAATTTTGTACCACTAGATCRAAAATTCAAAACATAGTATAAGTTATGAGTCTCTAGATCAGCAATATTAAAAMCCATGAAATGAAATAAATTCAAATGACAATGACCTTGAAAGCACTGTAGTATTAACAGAAGAAGTCCTAAATCTTCTGTTAATTTTGGGAGGGGAGAGTGATATCCAGGGCTMTAAGCTAGGAAGAGCCTGTTTGACAAAATAAAACATTTCAAAAAATTGTTTTAGTTCAGATAAACTGATTCAAGTCCCACTGAATTATAATTATGCAAGGGTAAAAAAAACCAAACCTATTTAAAAAAACCTTGAAATTCAGAGAACCATAAGCAATGAACTGCTTAATTATTTCTGTTCTACTGGTACAAACAGCAAAATTTCTTTCTCCTCATATTTAATTTTTTCAAGTTATACTCCTTGCAAGAGAATTCCCCTTCAGTTCTTGTACCCCAAAATAAAATACCACAGYATTACCTCATGCTCAGGGGGGTGAACAAAATGAACTGTCGATGCTGCTGAAAGTAAGCCTTCTCCAAAATCATATCAATGGCAATTCTTCTGTTAATCATGTCCTAAAGATGACAGATTTATCAGGTAGTGAAACTGACAGTAATAAATACAKTAGAAAATATGATTCTAGAAAACCTACTAGAATTAACTGCTATACAGTGAAGGTTAACTAAAGAAAATATCTAAATAAAGTAAGACTAATAAAAACTAAGAGAAAAACTGGAGAATCATTAGGGCTAAATTCTTAAGGCTACAAATTATAGTCTGGGAATTTCTTAAACTGTACTTTTCAGTATATATGGGCAGTGGAAAGCTTCTATCAGAACAATCACACACTCATCTACTCAGTGTTATTCTATCAGCTTTGATGTACACAGAAGTACTTCTTTCTTTACTGGTATGCTGAAATTAATTGTATTTTAGCAGAATAATGTTTTCTGCATAATTCTGACTCAAGAATCACCTGGAAGGATTTAAGGGCTCCATGAAACCTAAGATATTATAGAGCTTGTTTTTCTTAGGATTATTATTGTTATTGCCATTATTAAGATTTTGAACACAACCTCATGCATTAGGCTTACTGCAAAGTGTGTGCAGTAGGACRCTGTTATCAGCAGGGACTAACAAAGCTCTGCTGCTGTGAACTGCTCCTCATGAAACCAGKGATCTCCCAAAAAATACACCATGGAGTCCTTGTGTGGTGTGGCTGTAGGATTAGAGCAAGCATAACCACAGAATGTGTGGACAGTAAGGCTGCACTTACTGGGACAGKGGTGGAAAGACAAATTGTGTGGAATTATTTATGGAATAGATGACATGCAAGTTCTTTGCAAGGCCTGAAGTTCTGAGTATCCACCCTTTTCTGGAAAGATGGGTAAACTTTTGCACAACAAACTTTTAAAAGAGGATCTAAGATTTAAAAGTTGACTGAAAAATGATTGCTTCACTACCTCAGATGCATACTGTCCTTATTGAAATTCTTTATTATAACCTGTATTATCTTTGTTCCCTCTAGGTCTGTGATTCCTAGTAAATAAATGATCTATGAGGCAGGGACACTGAGGCAAAATTAAATAAGCCAGCATCAAATCTTTGTCTCATAGAAGTAAACATTTTCTCAAACTTATACCACAYTGCATATTAATAAGGAGGAAATAAGTCTTAAAAAAAAAGAAATTAAATTTCAAAATGGGTTAATGGCCTGTCCAGAGAAACTGTACACAAAGATATGATTTATCAGTTTTCGATAACATTGCTATTTATTGTTCATTATTCATCCACATATCTGCATTTCAGCATCTTTGAAAATGCTACTAGCTGAAGAATGAGTTTCTATAAAATAAGTAGCAACAGTGAACCCAGTTGCTACATTTGCTCTGAAAAAAGACCCCACACTGATCTCAAAATTGGCAGAAAATAATGCACATGCCAAGCCCATAATGCCACAGCAATATACAGAGTCAACYTCTGACAAATACAGTAATAGCTGATTTACTATTTTTGTGCTGAACAAAGGTTTGAGCATGTAAATTACCAGAAATGCTCATATTTCTGCATACTAACTTCAGAAATAAAATAGCTTCAAAAGACACAAAAGTGAACAAGATCCCTAACAAATTTTTTTTGGGGGGGGATTTTGATTTTGGTTTGGGGGCTTTTATAATTTACAGCTGACTATAGTGTTACGAGTAATGTAAGTAATAACCCAACTATCTGCTAACTTATACAAATCAGAATGRGAGATGTAGTTTAAGTTTAAACTGTACCATGTAGACATCAAATTCATCCATGCATCTGAAAGGAGAATCAGAGATGTTCCACAGAGAAAGAATGAAACAAACTGTGGAGAAGGAACGTTCACCTCCTGATAGGCATCTCAGATCACTACGGGAAGCTTTTTCTTCCTCTCGAGGCTGAACCTTGAAATAAAAATATTGAAGCAATTTTTAAATCTGAGATTAAGACATACTAACAGAATCGTATTTTTAACAGAAAACACCTTATATATAAACATATAGAGTTCCCTTGAAAACTATTTTCACTCCTAGTGCCATTCTGGAATGGGAGGGCTCCGAACAATTTAACATTTCTAGGATCACTGCAACCTCCTCTATCACGGTCATACACACTGAACAGATTTAATGACCCTACCAGTGTTTTCTTATTCAAGTCTCCATTTTAGTAACTGCTAAACAATGTTTAATAAATGCCAACCAGTGTAGGTACATTACAGTAAAATCCAGTGGTTACTAGCTACCATAGAAAAGTAGGTAAYTGATTTACAGCAGAATTTTAAAGGAGAAGATGTTCTTTATGTGGAATACATGAAACATTGTGAACAGCCATTTGGTTACATTGATTATGATGACATCTTGTGGCACTCCTGTAAGATGAAACTTGGGTATTTTCCTGCCCTGCTAATTGCACTTTAACAAGATAAGCAGGAGAACACCGATTATTTTGAAGTGGGATCTTTTTTTGGAGGGAATTAGGTTATTTTTTTTCAACTTATATTCCTTGACTAAATACAGATCTCTTTTGTGAGATACAAGAGATGTCAGCTATTAAAAAAATATTCTGGTCAAGTAATGACTTGTTATTTTATGGACTAAGTTTAGTTCTTCAGATACATGTGCTTCACCTATCACCTTAGGACTGCAACATGCATGTATGTTGTCACTGCACAGAAACAAAAGTAAATAAACTCATGACTAAAACTTTTGGGGATGTATGTTAAAAAGTACACTTTTAAATGTAAAATGAAATAATCTATCAAAGCTTTCAGGCATTAAATTGTTTAAATAACAGCTAGAGCCATTATACAATCACACAAATACTGGTGAACTTCTTATCAATGAAACAGAAATGAGTTATTTTGAAAGACTGACKATGATGACTCACTATTGAATTCTTATCATTGGCATAAAACAACAATCCACATTTGTTCCTTGCAATCTAGCAACCTGTCCATTTAAAATGTCAACKTTTTCTGTTTCTCAACAACATCCTCCTGTTAGCAGACAGGATGAAAGAAACTTRTCCAACACCAATTTGATGTGAATAAGCAGACACTTCTTTATTCAGGCTGTTGGAAATTCCTCCAATGTGTTCCACTCAACAGACAAAATCCAGACATTTTTACACACTTTTTCTGCTGAATCATTGTTACATAAGTTCTTTTGCATACTATGCAGAATATGCCCGCTCTTAAATTTAATCTTTACAATGATAGGTTTTGTTAGTTATATAACTTTATCATATTCTTATCCTAAAACAATCATTGGTCATCTCTACTGAGATCTACTGAYTGGAATCCTTGATATTCAAACCAAGATGGGAAGGGTAGAGGGGTTCCCAAGCAGCATAACTGATGTGCGTGATGGTCTCCACACTTTCTTGACCAAAACATAGCAAGTCCTGTAACTTGGTGAGGTTCCCATGGTTGCATATTTCAAACACAACATTCCTAACCTCGCTACACCTTACACTTGACAATTTTCCACTTTTAATCATAACTAACTCTTTTATATGATTAAATTAATTGCTTGATCAGAATATTTATGACAGTACAATTTATCATATCACATTCCGGACAGGGAGAAACAATTTTTTCCGTCACTTGCAATGTATTTCTAGCACCTGTAACTAATACAAATAATAAATACATATAATGATAACTGAAATAATATAACTTACTGTTATGGAAAGTGTCTCAGTCTTGTGATCAAAAATTATATTTCCAGAGCAACCTCTAAGACGTAACAAATCCTCAAAGTGGAGTCTGCATCGCACAGAWAGGCTCCTTAAATCAAGCAAACAAACGTTAGGGCAGCAAGTTTTAAAATACGTGAAAAAGTGACAAGAGATTTTTATGGACCGTCCAACATCATTAAGTATTAAGCCCTGCTCCACTAACAACATTCTCCCAAAACTGATGATGCTCTCAAGGGGTGACATGAGACATACTGGAGAGAATCACTTGGCACAAAGTAAGAAGGTAAGAAATCCAAATGTACAGCTTTGTATTTTCTAGAATTTTGTTTTAACCAACTGGTGGGAGAGACTGAAATAGTTCGTGGCTTAAACATTGCTAAAATCATTGAAGGACTTTTGCCCASGGTAGCAAACTGCAAAGAAACAGCCATTCTTGGGCCACCATCGAAGCACACCCCATCCCAAATATACCTACTAAAAGAAATTCCAGCTATGATGGGAACTTGAGATAAGATGAAGGGGATTCTGCTGTCCAGTCATCCCAAGTCTGGAGAGAAGAATGMATCCACAACTAATACTGGAAGAGACTGGAATACTGATAGTTCAACATTCAGGGGCCAAGCTGCTGATGTGCCATGTACCCAGCCCAGTGCAGAGGGCGAGTACAGCCCACCCCAGGCTGCAGCTGAGGTGTTGTAGRAGATAAGAAAAGAGGCAAACTGGAGGCCTGAGAGTCTGTCTCTTTGTCCTTACTCAAATGAACTCAGCTGTGATCACTTCCCTACAGAAGGGACATTCTCACATAGCCTGAAGGTGGCTCATCTCTGCTGATGGGCCACACTGGACTCCACTGCACTGACATCACAGAACAGCTGTACCATCTTAAAAGGTGTTGAAAGACTCCCAAAGTGACCCATGATCCACAATGTTACATCATCCAGTAAACTCCCCACTCCAGGGGAGGTATCTGAGCGGTCCAGGCTGATCCTGGGTGAATATAAACCCAAGATAGGTTGTGGTCTGGGGATTTCTTTCACCATCTGACAGACCCAACCTGTAACTGCAACTTCAACCAACAGACACCGAAATTGCAAAAACCAGTCCTGTTGTGAGATCTTCCTAGTCCTTTCCTTCTCTTTCTTAAACATTTTCTTGAACAGCATTTTTATGCTTTTATGTTGTCATATTACTACTGATAGCAACAACCAAAATGGCTACATAGCTGTTTTTCCATGCAACCAAACTGTTCTAAAATAAATGCCACATAAAATAATACATAGAGACAAACACCAATTCAGTGTTGTTTCACTTTTAGCTACCCCAGGGGATCTATTAACAAGAACCTGGGCTACCCTCACTTTCAGTTGTGGATTGTAACAACTGGGAGCTTTTTACKGAACTTCAACAGAAAATTACCATTCCACTGCTTCCCTATTCAGTACTAGGACTGCACAATAACAAATTGACATGGKCTTTGCTAAATTCTGAGAATTAAAGAGTGTTGTGTATTAATTTCTATCTCCACCACCTTGCCCTTCAATTCTGTCATATCCTAATCAACACATGACAGTTCCTTCAAGAAAGAACTATGGTACTTTACAATCCCACTTGTAAGGTGGGAATCAAACTTGGGCACGAAGACTAAGACTCAATGTGACATATGTGGGAACCAAAAGGCAAGCATTATATTTGGCAGGTAAATCACTATTTGCCCACTATTATCTCTATACTTGCATCTGAACAGGTTGATATTCTCCTCAACATCACTATTTGTCAGGATCATATTGGCACCTCCCCCAAATCCAGAGCAAAAAGTACAAAAAGCAGAGCCAATCAAAATATCCCTCAATTTCTGCTAAAGGGAATGATAAAGTGCTGCAGTGGAAAAAAGACCAGTCCCTTGACCAGTCATAGGATACTAAGGGACTGAAGCAAGGAACAAGGGGTGTACAACATGTAATGGAGAAGAAGCTGTCAAATTATAGAATATGAATTAAGAGCTTCAAATTTTTTCAGCATAGGACAGAGGAAAAGTGTTTGGCCTGCAATGAAATTATATGAGCTCAGCACTAATAAATGAGTGACTGCCAGATTATTTTGAGTCTTAGTATGTTGCTAATATCTTACTGTCCAAAACCAGCACTCAAAGTGCTTTGGAAGAAGTCAGCACGGTTGAGGTCTTTGGGATGAAGCAAAATACAGGCCTTACCATCACACTGGTTTTCCAGGGTCAGTCCAGGCTGCCCCTAAACTGTCAGGCACAAGACTGAAACTGGGAGCAAGCTTAGTTTAAAAAAGATTGTTGTGAACACTGCCTTAAACTCACCTTAAGAACTGCCGATACACTTTGAGCCTCTCTGCCATTACTTCYTCCAGCACCACAATAAACCTCCTTAAATTCTTCACTTTATTGCTTGCATCCTCATATCTTTCCTTTGCATATTGAAATTGCCTGTTTTAATTAACAGAAAGGTTAGGAGCAATATCCATTACATTAAAACTGAGCTATTACTGTAAATGCTGAAAATAATCAAAATATTAAAATGAAAACTTTCTTGTGAGGATTTATGTTAAAGCTAAAGCATTTGATGACTCAAGTAAGGCATTCTTCACAAACGAAATGTGGACAAAAATCAAACCTTAATTCTATTTTTAATTATTTGAAAATAAACTCTTTCACCAAGGAGAATGAATGACTAGGCTCAAGAATATCTGAGGGGAGCGCTTCCTTGAAATGCACTGAAGTCAATACCTCAAGAAACTGCCTAACTTGTGCATTAGTTATTCAAACTAGAATTATGCTTAATAATTAGTGCATCACCGAACAATGGCAAGTTATGCTCATGTCGTAACTGGGTTAATTTCAAAACACTAAGAGGGTACCTGATTATTGGTAATATCACATATACAGCACAGATGCTGCTTAACATTACTGGAAGGTGTTTCAGGACTCCTAAATCTGTCCAGTACAGCTTGGCTGAGAATTAGTACAACACATTTCCACACCTTCRTACATAGCTTAAGTACTAAAACCACACAAATTCATAGTGGGTTAATAAGAAAAACTCTTCTTACCCCTCTCTTTTCCATCCCACCTGAAGTGCTTTTGACAGTGAAGATGACTTACCGTATTATTTCTTCTCTGTTTCCACGCAGATTGCTTTCTGAATCTATTTTCTCTCTCAAGCGATTCATTTCTGCATTAAGACTTTTAACAGTTCTGCTGACCTTGATGCGCTCYGAGAAGATTTGCCTCGCTTTTGCCATTTCTTCCTAAAGGGATGGTTTGAAACTCAATAATTGTCAAACTTTTCAAAAATCTATTAAGTCTTCACAACAAATATTTTATCCTATAGAAAAATTTGGATTCCAAGAACAGTATTTTTGTGTTGTTCTGTTTTCATCACAGCAAACCCAGTTAAAAATTTTATTGACAGCATTTATACAGGGATAGTCATTTCAGTKCCAAGAACCATATCCAAGATTTTTAATACAATCACAATTATTTAGCCAATGCAGAAAAATAAGGAACCAAAATCACGATATTTAAATACTTTGTGGATGTGATTTCAGAGTTAGTTAATAAAGCKTGATTAGGCAGGTCTTCGAAAGATCAGATATGGGACCTGTACAAGGAAAAGCTTACCATCCAAGAAACCAAAACAATACTATTCAATTTAACTTAAGCCCCAAATTTTAATCTTCTCATTGCAAAAGACAGATGAAAAGGTCCTAGACAGATGAACCCTAACTTACCTGTCAAGACAGAAATGGTGTCAGAACAAAAAAGGCCTCAACTCACAAACACAGAATTRCTTTACTTGCTTTACATAGTCAGCTTAGGACATAGAGAATTCTCARCGTAACTGAGTATATTATCTGTATGTTATACAAGCAAAATAATTTATTATTAAATATTAGAAGAATCATGACCATCTAACTTCAATAGCTAAAAAAGAAACCCACCACACATACCTCTAATTCCTTTCCTTTGGCAGCTAGTAAACCTTTATGCTTATTTATGCACGCCATGTGTTCTCTCTGTTTCTCTTCATAGTGCTGCAAACGGCATTTACTGTTTTCCACTTCTGGCTCAGCCTGGCTCAATTCAGCCTGTTTGGAACAAATCACAGTGTCAGCTGTTCRGGGTAAATTCCTGAGAATCTGTCTWATGTTTACTCACTCATCACAGGTTGTTCTAACTTATTTTGCTTTCAGTGACACTACTCATACTAGAGTCTGGGAGCTTTAACAGCAGCTTATGAGAAAGTCTGTGCTCAATTCTGAAAAGGTCATAATAAATACCTGCAACGATTTTAGGAATTGTATCTTGAGGTGATGTTTTCATCTTTAAAAAAAAAGCTATGCTTTCCCCTAAAGCTTCAAAAAATGCATTTATTTTTAACACTAMATTCTATCCAGAACTTCTGATGCCTGTGTGACATCAGCCAGAAGTGCATTTCTGTGTGAAAATTCARTGTCCTGCTATGTCTATAATATAAAATCATAGAATCATASCATGGTTAAGGCCTTAAAGAACATTAAGTCCAACCWTTAAAAGAACACCACCACCATATACATCACTAAACCCTACCCTTCAGTGCAATATCCATTCATTTTCTGAATGTTTCCAAGGATGGGGATTCCACCACTTGCCTGAGCAGTTTTACAAGGCTTTCCATGTAAATTTTTTCCCCCAATATCTAAACTAAACCTCCCCWGGTGCAATTTGATGCCATTTCCTCTACTCCTGCTACTTGATACCTTGGGAGAAGAAACTGGGCCCCATCTCACTTTAACCTCCTGTCAGGTAAAGGTCCCCCTTGAGCCTCTTTTTCTTCAGGCTAAACAGCCCCAACTCCATCAGCTGCTCCTCACAGAAACTGTGCTCCAGAACCTCTATACTATGCAAGTATTGATACTGTTGTAGTGCTACATCTTTCCAGAAAAGCAAAGAGGTATAAAGAATGATATAAATTAGGACACAATTTTCTTCCTCATCTCTGTCAATCAGATGGCTTGTCTTAACAAAAATAAAAACCACCAAACCAAACAGAAAAAAAAACCCAAAGAAAATCTCAAAACCCCCAAACAACAAATAAGAAAACCAGCCATTATGAACAATAACAGATGCTCTCACCTTTTTCTAATCCTATCTTAAAAACACAACTCATCAACAGTTCATTAAACAACTACAGAACACTTAACAGCACATCTAATTTAAAACCTTTTCAGGAATTTCAGTGCTGCCCTCGATTGTGTTCAGTACTCTCAATAACAAGCAATAATGTTTTCATACTCTGATATATCCTCTTTCCCTGCACAGTGGTTCTTTTAAAATAGATCACACCTCTTGAATTTTTATATTATATATTAACAGATTTATCTGCTGCTTTGCTGACCTGTTTCCTTACTCTTTTTGTTTGCTCTTTTAAYTTGGGCTGACTACATAGCAATATGTAGTTTAAGTGAGACACGTAAGAGATTCCCGTAGTGATCTTTTACGTTTTCTTCGTTTCATCCTTCTACGAGTTTACCATGGTATAAACTTCCTGGACTCTTATTTCTGTTTTCTATTTTCAAACCATAAGTTCTTCTTGCCAACATGAGACAGCCTTCCATTTGCCAATAACAAATTTTGCATGTCACCATTCTAATATTTATCTTAAGTCTTGCTATTTCTCTTCCATCTCCAGGTGCCTTCTGTAGTCTTGAATAATTAAAATTAGGCAGAGGTACCTTCTGTGATTATGTAACTTCACAGAATAACAACCACTTCATAAGGAACTTCAAAKGCTATTTTGAGAAATGAACAGTTATGAACATGCTTAGCCAAGTTTTCTTAGAAACAAACAAGCAAAAATGACAAATGTGATGCACAAAAAAYGAAAGTCAAGGAAACTTTTCCCTTCCTTTTCATTCCATGACTAAAGATACCAGGAAATTAACTCTCTTTAAACATAAGACACTACAGCAACTACACTTAACATCAACATTACCTTCAAAATATTGCCAAGCATATTTTCCAACATTCTCTGGATGGAATGACTTATTTCCATTTCACAGGTAGACCTTAAGTCTATCAGGAAATAACAAGTTCTTTCCTCCTGCCTCACCTCTTAACCTCATTCACCCTGACACACAAACAGAACAAATCAAAGATAAAATATAAAATTATTGCTACCTTAATCGGGGCAGCAATTTCTTCTACTCGATGAATTTTTTCTTTCACTTCTTCTAATTTTTTTTCAGCTGCTTGAAGACTACTTCTCAGTTCTTCCACCTGTCTGCTTTGTAGCCGCATCTCTTGTTTTACAGATTCCATCCTATCTTTATTTTCTTCAGCTTCGTCTTCCTGTCAAAATGTATTAAAGTTACAAATAATAAAAGGAGACATATTTGTAAACTGCTGTACCAGATTTTTATTTTACTATCACTATTAGGGTACAATGTTACAAGAAGTAGTCTGTAAGTCTAGTAAGAATAGGAGCAGCTCAATGTAAATGTTGCTAAAGCCCAAAGGAAGAGACTGATGGATCTTGTAGGAAACCACAAAATCAAACAGCAAAATAAAAGTGGAACTTCACATTTATGTGACTGAAAATTAAGATTTTATTTGGGAGTAGTGATGAAAAGACTGAAAAGAACAAGGTAACTTCTCTCTGGATCTGTGGCCAATATACATCCAATATATAATGGAATGCAGGAAGAATAGGTAGATTGTTGTTGTCTCCTAGAAAATGACACCATTCCTAATGAACAATCATCACACATACTTTCTGATTCMAAAAGACAAATATTGCAAAATCCGGGGGGAAAGATTTTTAAAACCACCAAAAATCAATAAAATAATTTCATTTACAGAAACGTTTACAATTATATCAAGTGTTACATTCTTCACTATCCAACTTTGCTTATTTCAAAACACTGCCCACATTAAGACACGATTTCATATGCTGATTAGACATAATTTGATAATCTATTCTTACTAATATTCGGGCGTCCACTGACTGATGTTTTTCCATGTTTTCAAGATCTGCGATTTCTGCATTTGCTGTTCTTACTTTTATCTGAAAAGAAAAACAAAATACATATCCTGAATCTTAACTAAATAGAAAGGTTCACATTTGTTCATTTAAGTCATCACATCAAAGAAGGCTCTTGCATTTTTTAATTTCATTAGCGACCAACAAGAGACATTCACATTCACCTATGGAATTCATTTTCAGAAGATACAACTGGTTCTGAAAGCTGTGCACTTTAATTCACTGAGTTACTGTATTTCCATTCAACATGACAATTSAATAAAWTATWCTTTATTTTTCTTCAAGTATTTATCTTCAGCATTTCAGACCACATACCAGATTTTTTTTCTGCTTCTTAGTTCTAATTTATTAAATATAAACTTATATAATATTAGCTTACACTGCCTATCTGAGGCACCACTGGCCATCATAAATATATATCCTACTGAGAAGTACCAGGAACYCCAGAAAAGAGACTAACAGTTGTAAAATGGCTTATAAAGAAATTAGAAGTTATGAAAATTTAAGGAAGAAATATTCAGCATATCAAGGTGGGTTAAGAATATACAGGAAGAGCATGAAGATAAACAAGATTCTGGGAATGCAGAGGCAAGGCTCAACAGAAATAAAGGAAGGAGAAGCATTATATGATCCAAGTTATCTTTTCCATGCAACAAATTACTACTAGTTTCAAAAAAAAAGCAGAAATTTATAAGATTTAGCACATAGGGTGGGGRAAAGATACCAAAGGAAACAAGAGCATATGCTAGGATTGATGTGGCCTCTATCTTCTGTCCTCAATTATAAGAGCATATGATGAAAAACATGAAAGCAAACAGCAAAAGTAAGGATAAACATTAAAAACTATCGGGCATTACAGATAGACTGCAGAAGTCAAAATGAAATAAGGAAAGACTGAGGAGTTTCTAAAAACTAACAATGTACCTATTTTTACCTGYAGTTGTTTTTGGTGTTGTCGATGACCATGGAGATGATCTTCATTTTGCCTAATCTCATTTTCAATGGAATATAAACGTTGTTGAGATGCTGTCAACTGTGCCCTTTTGTTTTCAATTTCTTTATCCAAGTGACTTTATAAATAAAGTGATATTGAAATATTACATACTACACAGATATTATTGGTGACACACACATACAGAAATACAATAAAAATTACATGGATGACAAGACAAATGGTAAAAATGCAGTCCTTTTTAACTAGCCCACATCACTCCCCCATAGCAAAATTGGTAATGGAATGCTTGTATCACTTTGAAAGTTCACATAATCTTTGAGAGGAGTTATATACTGACATATTTAAAACTTTTGAGTTTAGAAGTAAGTTTTAACATTCAATTTAGTTTATACTATSAGCTATTAATACTAAAATTACCTAATATGTCTCTAACATAATCTGAGCCTCAAAATCAAAGTATTCTATTGTCACAAATTCCCTTGGTGACAGCACAAGTTTTTAATCTTTGAAGTRCATCTTGCTTTTTCAACTAACACTTTGAAAACAATGAGAGATGAAAAACCCTAAAAACATAAAAAGTGAAGGAATTCTCAGAGATACCTACCATGAATGAAGTCAAAAACCTAAGGAAAYACTACTGAAGCCTGAGGAGTAAAATTTGAAACCAGTAGGATGTGTACTGACAATTTTGGTTCAAACAGTCAGGCTTCCCTTGCAGTGAACTGTGACARCAGTGTTCAAGTATTATATTTTTAAAGTAACAGCTTTATTCTCTTTTTCACCAAGCATAAAGTAAAAAAAGAAGGTAGCTATATCGCCTGAGTATTTAGCACAGAAAATCCCTACCTGAAGGATAATTAAATACAGTTTGTCCCTATCACTAAAGGCACTGAAATAAAGAGATATTCTACAATTCTCAAAAAGTGCAAATCTCAGAAAGAAAACGGAGAGACTAGGGAGTAGCATACATGCAAATAGACAAATAATATAATTCCCCTATTCATGTTAACAAGTGCACTTTTTACAAACACTGCATTACAAGATGCTCACCTGATTTCTGCTTCAACATCTTGACTTAGGAACTTGGGTCTGACAAAACTGCAAGAGTAATACCGTCTTTCAAATACTTGATCACCTTCAGCAGTGAAAGCTTCTCTACAATTTTTTGGGGGCCGATTGCGTTGCATTACTTCACGAGCCTTATGGTTACTCTGAAAAATACAATGGCTTTACAACACCAGCACAAAAGCAACCATAATTAAATATAAGAATTTAGAAGTTGTCCAGATGTTTTCAACCAAAAATAATTTCAATTCTCAATGAAAAGAAATACAGTAATAAAAGAATGTGAAAATTATCTGTAACATCAAGAATCTATGTTTCTTAGTTGAGTAAGGCATTTATGTTCTCAAGAAACCACTAAGTTTAGTTGATCATTTATTTGTAAATTCTGTAGTCTAATCAGTTTCTTTATAATTTGCCTTGGAGAGAAAAAAATCACTAACCAGAAGGTCACTATGCACAGGTATATTCAACTGTCAAAAGTAGAATACACAGGAAACCAGCTTCCAAAGCAAGGTATAAAGTAGATCAAATAATATTCAATTAAAGTTCAGGGAAATATGCCAGTAAAAAACCCCAACACTGACAGCACCAGACTAAGTGGTCACAAGTGTTTTTGTGCAAGGCAACCATGCTTCCCATTCCATAGTGTCAATTCTTCCACAGAGTACTTCTTCCAGATTCAGCTGGAATTGTTCTGGTAGGGCTCAAAGATAATAACATCATGAAAATCACTATTTAGTTCAGGCAGAGGGGGAAGAATGATCCCAACATTCCTTCTGCGAGAAAAGCCTATGAAGTTCAGATGTTATGTGTAACCCATTCTGTGATAGCCATGCTTCAAACACAGTCAGCTCTGCATTAGACAGAGCATGAACTGCCTGTTTCCAGTAGGGATCTCAGAGGATAAACTGGGACAAGAGATGTTGGAGAAAAATAAAATTCCCAAAAGGTATATATCATTAGTTCTGCTAGCTTAAAAAATACCCTGCCTTCTCTAARWAAAAAACATRCGTGCCTTATTTTTATCTTTGAACRTTTTACCTGTAATCTTATCTGCAGGAGCTGGTATCATCAGTACTAACAGAAAATCAAAAATCAATTCAGATCAGAAATCAGATCATGTGAGAAAACTTAGCTACCAGCTGCTAGGTGCCACTGTTAAGGGCTGGTTGCAAGTTTTGTCTGGGTAACACCTGGACTACCCAAAACTGACACATCCTGAACTTGACAATTAACAGAGGCATGAGACAGAGMCAGCAGTTAGGAGGATTGATTACACACACGTGAAATAATTAGACTGGGAAACTACRCCACTTAGAGGTCCAGAAAGGGAGTGGCAAACAACCCAGAAACAAACGGGGATGGTCCTGAAAACAGGTGGGGCAAAGAGGGGAGCAAAACTTACTCTACCTCTTTTATTCATTACAGACACTACCAATTAAGGTGTCATTATACACTCCACACGTTTCTTTAAAGATCAACAGGAAGCATAAAGCTTACTTTAATCAGCAGAATTGTTTCTATACCCCTCATATCAATCAAACAATTGGCAACCACTGGATTATCTATTTCCAATGCTGTCAGAACTGAYGGGAATTCTGGATGATGAACAGCTCTGAAGAAAAGAATAAAAAACACCATTCATAAAACTCACATGAGATTCTTAAGGGACAAAAAAATTCACRAAAGTTTTTAACTATCAAGGGTAAGCAAAAAAATTCAAAACATAACTTACCTCTGACTAGTGTCATAAACTTTATTCTGAAATTTGTTTACAATTATTTGAGGTCTATGTCCACGTGCAAAATATTTTGACATCAGAAACACAAGAGTTCTTTCATCGCTATGATTATCACAGCAAAATGCCTGAAGTAGGCTTTTTAAACAGGATTCAATAGCCAAGATCAGTTCAGGATCTTTTGGATGAATCAAAGCACCTAAATAAACGTAAGAAGCAAGGCTTTAGGTGTTGTGTTCCAGGACAACACATTCAGCACAGCATTTTTAGCACTCAAGGTTCTTGTTTTGTTGTATTGTAGACTTAAGAGCCTAAAATCAACCTTTCTTACAAGTAGAAGAAATKATTAAGAAGTTGACTAAAAGTTAAGACTCTACAACAGACAAGCTACCCTGAGAACACAAAAATATAATTTCTCTGCTCAGAAACACCTACACATAGTTGGARGCCATACTTTCTCCCATTAGGGTACCAATTTCATGACAGCCTCGCAGAAATGTATCAAGGCAAAGACAGCTTATCTACAATTTAATGCTTAAAGGATGAAGACATTGGAACTATATTGCAAGTTAAGCAAACATAGAGATTTCCATTATATCACCTGTCTTCAGTAGCATGTGTCTRCACATTCTCACCCTGCAGTCAATGTCATGTACTTTACATCCAGAACAACTTTTCTCCCATTCACAAACTGAAAATAGCAGCCACTGTCAGAGCTGGACAGAAGAAAAATAAAAGCCAGCCTTCCAAGAAAATCTCATTTGGGTCTGTCTGAGTTGTTCCATGCAAAACATCTCAAGTTTGACAAACTCACAAGTCAGCCACTGGACACTGAATAAAGTCTCAAGACCTGGACAGTGCTATCCACTGAGGAACAAGCAGTCAAAGCACAGTAGTCTTATGCTTTGAGGGTGTGGGGGAGTCAGAGAGATGCACTGGAAGTTTACCATTGTAAAATACCTCAATAAAACAGCTGGAAAATGAGGAAAGCCACCTAGCTGTGAGTGCATGACAGAAGAAAAACACAACCAGCCAAGATACAACTTTTAGTCCAGGAAGTACAGAAGAAAAAGATACATCTGAAACTCCTTAAGAACAAATAGTTTTCTTAAAAGACCACTACTCACATTAGCAGCCATACAAAAAAATCCCATGAGAAAATACATTACAGCAATTATTCTCACCTAAAGGTCCAAGAGGTTTCTTTTTAAACTGCCCTTGCTTATAGGCTATTTCAATTGCTTCAAGAAAAGCTGGTATATGTGGTCCAAATCTTTTCAAAGTATTTGTTTTACTATCTTTCAGGTCTCTCAGCTGCTTCTGTTTGGCATCCAGTGCTTGTTCCACATCACGGTTTTCTCTCCTAAGATAACAGGGGTTTTTTTCAGTAGTTATAGAGCCTTAAGTGCACTAAAATAATTATAAAGCCTTGTTTTTTAATTACTAACAACGTAAGGTATCAACACGTCAGTAGTTCAATTTAATGCTAGGTACACACATGCAATAATATTTTTATAGTTTCAAGAAACTATAAGAGACAAAAAAAAGAGAAAATGACTACTTAGCAGCAGTTCTACATGACTTTCATTTCTAACAGATTATACTAAATTATTTGTAATTATATGCATCRGTTTCACCATCCTCTTCAAAGATCTTCAACAAAACACACAGTAAGCATTGGTTACAGTAAACTAACACACCAGGTACAATAAGGAACAATTCTCAAATCCTTTAAGACAATAAATGACACTGCCATAATTCCCTCTGGTAATCATTGTTYAAGTTCAGGTTTCCAAATCAAAGCCAGAGGGTTTTGTTTTTATGTCTTGGGCATGGACTAAATTGGTAATTGGACCACTTTGCCTCAAAGCCTCTATGAATCAGCCTTAACTATAGAAGCAATAATTACTCCTCAGTGTATCTATTCTCCTATGTGAAAAAGAAACTGGAGCCTAATACCTCAGGGATCACAGTACAAGAAAGGATTCTCTCTAACTTGAAACAGAGGTAAACAACCTCATTCAAGAAGCATAACTTACCTGATTCTAGAAAGTTCTTCCCTACACTTAGATATAGCCTGCTGAAACTGATCCACCTGCTGACCAATCATTATTTCTTCATCATGGAATGCCTTTAACTGTTCCCTTAAGTATGYAATTCTCCTTTGTCTTTCCAGTTTTTCAGGCTCTGAAACCTGATTAGAACTAGAAAAGAACATCCATATTTTAAAACAATACAAGTGACACAAACTTTATTACTTGTAGCGTRCAGAGGATTTACACATCAGTTACATTCAAGATTCTGCTAACATGCAAGAGCTACACATAGCAGTAATGCCAATTTTGAAATTAAAAAAAAAATTCTAATCACATGTAACTCTCACCAGTTACATTCCTATTGCATTTAGTTTAAGACATATTTGTTTTGCAGTATCACGGTGTTGCCTTGACAGCCAGTGTCAATAATGACACAGACACAGTTAAAGGGATAAAAAGGGTTTTCCCTCGGTATGTGGGATCCCAGGTGGACAGCGTGATGGAAAATGCACACCCGTGTATAGCACGGACACAAGTTTTATAGCCTTCACAATTTAGCACATTTATCTAGGATTCCCCAATAAGAAACTCAACTAATGAAGTAGTGTCCCCATATTGTAATGAATCCCCCCAGAATGAGGYCAGAGCCCAGTTTACACAAGATGTTCCAGAGAGAAGGCTTCACCCAAGGCTGGAGCTCGGGTTTAAGATAGCACAGGGCACACTGACTCCTTCCTCAGGATGTTTGGTCTCTCTGCCCAGCARAACTCCTAAACTAAGATGGAATATCAGACTACAGGAATTACAAGCATGTGAGCTAAGAGGTACAGGGAGATGCATAGAGGGTACAGAAAATGTATAAAGGGTATAAAAGTGTATAAAAGGGTACATAAAAAGGAAAGGCAAAAATCATCAGGCATCAATGGAAGCTACAGAATCTCCCAAAATCCTAGTATGTAAAGAAGCGGGTCAGAAATATTCAAATATTTAGCTGGACCCAGCTAAAGACTAAATAAGTATTTTCTATTTCCTACAGGTTTTCTCTTTAATCTTTCTTTTTTTATCTATACCTTAATAAACATACACCATAATCACTGTATCTGTATTTACCAGCTTTTCAGTTCTTCAGTTCGTTTGCATAGCTGTTCATTGTCTTTTTGCAGACGTTTCAACTCCATTTTGGAACGATTATAAACAATCTATGAAGGAAATTGGATACAGTACTTTAAGAAACAGAAGAAATCATTTCMAAAAGAACTAAAGTTTTGACTAAATACTGAACTGCACCAAACCAGACAAACATAACTTGATTTTCAAAAATTRTATCTATTTACTTATTTTGACCTAAGCTTAATACTGTGGAGTAACTATGTGAACTATATAAACACCAAGGCCCCCGAACAGACACCACTTGCCAGTCAGGCAGAAAATTACACCTGTTTTGAATTCCACTACGGACACAAGAAGCCAAGTGTAGAAGTACAGATGAATAGAGCATGGATAAGTTTAAAATTTTAAATAGGTATGAACTTCAAAAGGGTTTTTTTTGCCTACCTCAATTTCATTGACTGCTTTTCTTTTCGCCTGCACTTCAGCCTTCAAAGTGATACACTGGGGATGCAGGGCTTGTGCTTCTTCACTTACTGTTATTAATTTGTCTTGTATTGCTTTGTACTTTTTTTCTGCTTCGTTCACTTTTACCTTTGGAGAAAAACCAGAATGATATACAAGTAGTAATGGAACAAAACTTTCTTCAAAATCTCTTAATGTTACAGGACAAATATCTCTCAAAAGAATCAAAATGTCTCAATTGTTTTTGTTTTAAAAAAATAGAGTCATTCCACTATGGATATCTTAAGATGAAAACTCATAAATGTTCRTTCTCAGAAAATCAGCAGACTACCAAATCTGTGAAGTAGACAGCAATCTTCTTTTCTATCTGATGGTTTAGTTAAACACAGGACTCTCARTACAATAAGGCCAAGTACCATCATATCAAGAAAAGTAAACCAGCATCTGGACAATGTTCCTTCATCACTACATAGGTATGTTGACCATTAAGCAAAAATGCCTCAATTGTAAGACAAATACTTCTTAAAAGAAAGAAAAAAAAAACCATAAAAACATTATTTTAAAAAGGGAAATTAATGCAAATCAAGTTTGGAGGAGTTTTAATGTACTGAAAAGTTTTAGGGCTGTTCATCCTGGAGAAAACTGCATGAAGACCTCAAAGCAGCCTTCCAGTATCTGAATGGGGGCCTACAAGGGGATCTSTTCATTACCTGTTTTGATAGGACAAGGAGTAATGGGCTTAAACTGAAAGTGAGGAAATTTAGGTTAGACACATGAAATGAATTCTTTACTGTGAGGGTGCTGACACACTGGTACAGGTTGCCCAGAGAGGCTGTGGATACCTCATCTCTGGAAGCRTTCAGKGCCAGGCTGGATGGGGCTTTGAGCAGCCCTGYCTGATGGAAAGTGCCCCTGCCCATGGGAGGGCATTGGAACTGGATGATCTTTAAGATCTCTTCCAACCCAAACTATTCTWTGGTTCTATGATTCTAAATTCAAAATAATGATCCCCGTTTCTCTGCAAAAAATATGTTTCATATGCTAATCAGAAKGTATGACAAAATTATTCTTTCTTGCTACCTACAGAAGTTGTAAGAACCATCCCAAAACTTCCAGAGGTCTCCTGGAATCACTGATYTTTTCTAAAAGTAACGACACCCAAGAAAACCTACATGACAGAAATCTGAGTCGGGGGGTGATTACAACTGAAGTGTTATATGGTTTAGACCATATATGTACCTGATATTCTTCTACCTTCTGAAGGAATTCTGTATTTTCTTCTTCAGCTTTGATGGCTTCTTTAAGCAGCTCTATTTCTTTTTCCATTTCACTCACCTAAAGAGAAGCTTATATTAGCATGTATCAGCATGTCCACAGCAAACTGCGTATGAAGCACATTTCACATGAACAAACATATTTTAGCAAGATAATTACCACTGCCCATGCCATTTGATGTTTCAAATCTTTGAGATGGTTTTTCATGTCATTCACAAATGCAATGCTTTTGAAAACTTCCTTTTTTTCTAGATAAAGCTTCCTAAGTTCCTCAAGATGCTTTAAAAAAAATAACAAAACAAGACTTCAGTCATGAGTGCAAAAAGCTGTCATATAATAGGAAATTTTGGAAAGATTTAGGGTTTTTGAAATTTAATGTCACTGAGACCTAATAAAATGAAAACTATGCAGTTTAACTCTCTATAGTTCATTCAGTGCTCAGATCTGCCCGAATAAGTACTTTAACTTTTACATACCAATTCCCCTTGTTCTATCTGAACAAGGGTATGTTTTTTAGTTTTTCCAATAAATGAATAATCTTCTTTCATTTGTTCCAGCTGAGTTGCCTTCATAAAAAACTAAAAAGGAATAAAAAGATGCAGATGTCAGATTAACACCTTATCTAAGTGGACTTTCAATAATTATGACAGAAAGACTATTCATCCCAACCTCTCTACATGCTGAATGATACCCAAAGTGGAATAAATGGTGGGGCTGTGGTGGTACAACTTCCACTCCCTCTTCAGGCTGCAATGTGATATCTGAAATGTTTGTTAGGTCCCAGCCTAAATGAACAGAAGCTGGAATCAGCTCCTCTTGGGTTTATCAGAAACACTCTCCACTCCCAGGAATGTAAGCTCCTGCTTCTAATGAACAGCCTTGGAAAATTGTTTTTCTTGCCTGAATAACAACCCAAATKGAGTAACATTGTTGTTACTGAATTTTCAAAGGAAGTTACTGACCCAAATTGTGGTCAGAATAGAAAATTACTTTGACTAAAGCCGGCTCTCTTGTGACCCTATAAACAATTGTCCCAAGCAAGCCCCACTGAGCTGTCATGGACTGCAGTGGCTGTGACAGCACCTCCCTCTGGGTGACATCCCACTGCGAGCCAGAGAACTCTCGAGTTTACTCAGAGGAGCACTGCCAAAAGCTGACAGAGCCTGGGCTGAGACCCCCACTCCCCTTCACCCACTAAGAAGTTCCAAAGCCATTGACATGAGTACTTCTCTGAGCTCAAGGGGAATTTTTCAAAGGTATACAATTTGTACATACTTTTTAGGTCTGTTTGCATACAAGTATGCATATGATATAGCAATTAGGTTTCTTAATATTTGTAAGTACTTAGATCAGYAATAAAATTAGGCCTATGAGTGAGTTACCATTGTGCTAGCATAAATTCTATAAACATCTTCATTAAATTACTTAATCAGGCTACTGATCARGTACTGTTAAGTTAAAGCACTGTCAAAACCTTTAGGCCTAAATGGTCGAGTCCGGAGTTAAGTTTGGCAAGGGGGTCCACTTTAAACTTGTGACTTAACAGGAAGGTCTCCCTCACTCCTTTTAATCCTTACTCTTTTCCCACCCCAACCTCCATGTAGATCATCTTAAGCTGATTTTGGTTTTAGAMTGTTTGATTTCAGGTCTTCGTCCAGTCTTCTTAGTTATCTCTTAGGAGAGTGACCCTTGCCAACAAACGTAGTCACATTTTCACTTTAATATCAAACCTGCTTTTGCTGRTACTTGTGCCAGTGGTTCTCTGAGTGACTTAAAATACTCCTTTGTGACAGGGGTATTTCTGAATAATGGACCGACTCAGAGTGTTCTAAAATTTAAATTTATCAATCTCTTTAGAGAAAAGAAACTTTAAAAACAATGTTTGTGCAAGTGGATGAYTGCTGCCATCAGACAGTGCACTGGCTCTGGYTGGGATGGAKTTAAGTTTCTTCATAGCAGCTGTTAGGGTATGGTATTTTCGATGTGTGATCAAAACAATACTGACTACATATTAATATTTTAACTGTTGCACTAGGGCCTCCTGTTTCTTACTCTGCCCTCTCAGTGAATAAACTGGCAGGGTGTGCAAGAAGCTCGGAAGAGATACAACYGGGCAGATGATCCCAAACAGATGAAGAGATATGCCACTCTATAAAACATCATTGCTGTGGTTTAACCCCAGCCACTCACTCAGCCACCCACAGCCACTCMCTCACTTTCCCTTCAGGTGTGATGGGGAAGAAAACCAGAAAAGTAAAAGCAAGAAAATACAGGGGTKGAGAYAAAAATACTTTAACAAAACAAAAAMCTGCACACCCAAGCCAAGCAAAACAAGCAACTTATTCATCACCTCCCAGGGACAGGGAAGTGTTCAGCCACCCTCAGAAAAGCAGGGCTCCATCATGCCTAACAGTGATTTGGGAAGACAAATGCATCACTCCAAACGTCCCCCAATTCCTTCTTCTTCCCCCAGCTCTATAAGTTGAGCATGATGCCATATAGTCTGGGATATCCCTTTTGTCAGCTGGGGTCATCTGTCCTGGATGTGACCGCTCCCAACTCCTTGTGGTGCCCCAGTGTCCTTGCTGGTGGGGTGGAAAAAGAAGCAGAAGCCTTGACTGTGTAAGCCCTGCTCAGTAGTTACAAAAACAGCAGTAATGAAAACGTCTCCACGTTATCAATACTGTTTTCAGCACAAATCCACAGCATAGCCCTACATGAGCTGCCATGAAGAAAATTAACTCTATYGCAGCCCAAACCAGCACAGTCATGCTCAGCAATAAAAACAGATAACAGGGTTTAGGGGCATTAGACATCTTTTGTTTGGGAACTGGTGGGGCGTCAGTCTACCAACAGGTGGTGATTGGTTGCCTCTGTGTCTCTTATTTGTTTCACTTTTCTTTCTCTCCTTCCAAMTTTCCCTTCAGTTTTAAAACAATTTTTATGTAATTTCTCTATTTTTTTTTACTTCTACTCTTCATTTCTCCTTCCCCCATCCCATTTGTGCTTGGGGGCAGCACAAAAGGGAAGTGAGTGAGTGGTGATGGGGCATTTAGCTGGTTACCTGAATTAGCCCAAAACAGGTTATTAAAAATAAGGAATTTTATCTTTTTTTTTTTCCAAATGCCACCTCAAGAAATTTGAAATTAGTATTTTAATGCAACTGCTATCTTAAGTTATTTTTCTTACCTTGTACTTGTCACCTTCATTTTTAGTCTGTAAAAACTGCTTACTCATCTCTTGGGTTAAAACAGACACAGGATTATCTACCTGCAAAAAAGAAAACACTTTCATTTTATTTTAAATACAAGTTAGCATGTTACTGTAAATCCATGAAAGTGAGCATGCCATTTCCCTGTTCCAGTTCTGCAACTTAGTAATAAGTTAAGGTTCAGAAATTAAGCTTTCTAATCCTCTCACCTATCAAAAAAAACCAAAACATAACAAACAAAACCAATAACAAACAGAAAAATTAAAAAATCCAATTATAACAAATTACAAAATAGAAGTACAGCAAGGACAATTAAGGAACTGCTTCTGAGAGGATGACTGACTTTCTAYAAAGACCGTACCTGTAAGTTCCATTTATTTAATAAAATCAGCATTATAAATTCTTGTCGTATGTGTCCTTATCTAATTAATCAATTATTGCAATAAATGCAATGAATTGACCCATGTATTCTTACAGATACCGTCACAAAATAAAATCAATACATACTAACTGAAGTTTCTATTATTTGAAATTCTAAGTTTGTTGAATATTTTAATCTTCATATGAACCACCTGATATTTTATTAATCACTTAGGCAGTAAAAACACATTTAAATTTCTGAAACAGCAAGAAGTGAAATAATCAACATAAAAAAACTCTCCAGATACAAAAGAAACCTACATATGCCAAGACTTTAATCAACAGGGCACATGACTCGCAGCTCAGAGATGACAGCAAATACTTATCTGTCTGGGAAAAATCCTATTCTGCATTGTATGAGGTATATAAATTTCAATTTTGCTGATGCATTTGATCTTTAAATAACATGGAAGAGGTGAAACTCTCTCCTTTAAGGAATGGCACATTTCTTTTTAATTGAACAATTATAATATCACATGCCAATGTCTTAAAATGTACAGAATTTAAACACTACAACAACTACCTGTATATTAAAGTGATCCAGTATTCCTATGAGTTCCTCTTTCTTTGACGAAATTATGGTCCCTAATGGTAAAAAAGAAAGGAAAARTATCAATAGATACAATGCCCCAGTCCTCTGTTCAATGTAGAAAACATAAAAAATCTGATTAGTATTTTTGTTACACAGACTTAGTCCTAATTGAGAAACATTGGTTAGGGGTTTTTAATTATTTTTTCAATATATTTGCATTTGCACAGAAAGACTTCTAATACAAGTCCTTCTTTGCTTCATAAACACTCTGTGAAAGAATTTAGACATATCAGCAAATTCAATAAAAGCTCAAAAAGACTAAAAACTATGTTCAGCCTCATCACACAAGTAAATTTTTGTAAAAACAAATACATAATGTAAAACTTGACATACTACATGACATACTAAATTCTTGAATGATTTTATYAAATGAGAAACATCATCCTTTACTAACATCAAGGCATTCAAAASCATGAACATATTTAGAGAACATCTGAGAACAAAGCAAACTACCACCAACCAGATTTGCTTTTCAGTTTGCAAGTTCTGCTTCCATCCTGATTAATGTGTTGATTCACAGTAATAGAGGTACCATACAATTCTGGTTTAAATGCTTCTCCACCTTGGTTTCGCAATGTTATGGAAATGTCTGCAGAACTAAAAAGAAAACGCAAAAATAATAAAAAAGACAACTGAATGTCAAATCTAAAAACAACAACAAAAAATCAGAACATTCTTATTTTGCACATAAATGGTCATATGTCCTGCAGATCACAACTGCAAGTCAGTCAGCACCAATCAGAAGAACATGTATTGATTTGGTTTGAGCCAAAACAGCATTAGACACTGTGCTGGTTTAAAATCCAGCAGGAAAAATAAACCCACTCAAACTGCCCCCTTTCTTCTACCCCGTTCTGATAGTGGAGGAAATAATATGGAGAGATTATAAAATGGAATCACAATTTACTGCAAAATTTCAAAACCACAACAATATTAATAAGAGTGTATAAAACAGAGAGTGTTTTACCACAGAAGGGTATTCACTACCAAAAAACCAAAAATGCTTTCCCAAGACAGCACCTGGCATGGTTTCCCAGACAACGCAAAATGGCAACCATCCCTGTGTGGGCCATGTGGTGCAYAAGAAAACAAAGGAGAGGGACAAGRTCTGCTGGGCTGACCCTSAAACCTRCACACCCCCCCTCCCTTGAGCCCAGCAAACGCAAAAGCTGGCGACCCTTTTGCTTTCAGCACCAACTTCCTCCTGCTGACCCCCTGGCCCCACTCTGACATGGGCTGTATAGAATCAAATACTGCCAGAAACTCCAGCCCTGAKTCAAAAGCAAATATTTGTGAGAGAAGATTTCCTCCACCTTCCCTTCCCATCTGAGTGCACTCATTTGACATCACAGAATCAAGCTGCTTTTTGGTAGTTCTCCTTTTTTCAAACTGGCTTCTGTACAAAACTGTTGCCTGGCTTGTGCARCCTAACCAAAGTAATCTATAGGAGAATGCTTAAGGCATTCTTCTAGAGAAGGTGTGATTTCAGTTCCAAATTCCTATTTCCTGTTTCTCAAGTGAGTGCTGGAACATTAACTTAGTAAACATAAGGCAAGTRCTGCCAACAATTTTACTCTAAGCACCCCTGAAAGGAAAAGCCACRGACTCTGAATAGCAGCTTTATGTAACTGTAAACTCCTAAACCTCCTATCATTTTACTGGTTTTCCTAAACACTGGTTTCCCTAAACACGTTATCCCAATTCTTGCAGCAGACGTGAGTCCACTTTCTGCATGTTTAGATATCCAYCTGTAAATCAAGGTCTTTATATTGTATATTCATTCACGTCACCAGAAAGACTGAAAAATAACCTCACTGCTTGCAAAACAATGATCACTAGCAACCTATTTTTTTTTCTAGTGAACTTCATTTTTTCTGTAGGATATTCAATGACAGAACGGAAATAACACAAAAGAGCAGGAAATACAGAGGACATACCACTATGTTAGCTAGTTCAGTGTCCCAGTTTCAGGTAGAACAGAGTTAATTTTCTTTCCATTACTGTGAGAGGCAGAGGCTGGAAAGTGTGGGTGTGTGAGTTGTTATTCTATGGCCTACACATCATCACTGGGGGCTTCAGCTGGAAGAGAAGGAGAATGGAAAGTGGAACTGCCACCATTTTGCTCCTTTCTTCCAGGGAAAGCGCATGGCGAGTGAAGCAGTGGGGTGGTTCCAGTCCCACTGTGCAGTTTGTCCATCATTGTTTTTCTTGTCTCAGGCTTGGGGAGGGAGAGTGGGTGCAGAAAATTTGTCTACCATTGTTTCTTTTTTTTCACAACACGGGCACAGACACTTCTATTCACCAGTTTCTTCTTTGTCTCAGGAGCCGCATGGCTCAGGCTGTGGTGCAGTTGCCTTGAGTCAGACTCAGTGAGCATCTTTGCATGTAATCACCCTCTTTCATACACTGTTGTGTACAACACTATTAGTATTGTTGCTGATAGTGTTTGCTTTCCTTATCTCATTGCTGGCTTTTTTCAGCACATTTTTATCTCAACCCATAAWCTATCCCACTCTCACTGGAGGGGAAAGAGAGCAGCTGTTTGGAGTTTAATTTCCAGTTGGTTTCAATCCRCAACATTCAGAAATAATGGTATACTACTGGTAAAATCTCTAAAGCTTTTTGTTTTCAGGGTTTGTGTTCTTTTTTTTGGGGGGGGAAGGTGTTGTTTAAATATGGTCTCTTAAGTGTTACGCTTTTTACTCAGGTCTGGTGGATTCCATAAAACAGTACAGAAAATTAGGGTAAACAGAAAACTCATCACCTAACCTGAATGACAATCACTGAAGTACRTATGCAACTTTAAAATTAAAGTTTTACTTACGTCTCTCCTTTTTGAATAAACATTTTTAATGAGGAACCTCTGTTAGTAGCAGTAGCTTTCCCACCAAGTCCAACAATTAGTGCAGTYAATACAGAACTTTTTCCACCTGTAATTGAAGCATTGAACTTGTTTTAAAGAAAAGCTATTGTAAMTTCTACTCCAGTTCACCCATATTACAGTTTTTTGACTTCTTATATATTCATGCATTAGAAGTCCAAACCCTTTTCTTAYTGAATATATAAAATAACAAAAATGCTAGAAAAGTATCTGCCATTTTCAAGGTTCTCCCTAAAAAAACCCAACGTGCTGAGCTAAACTTCTGTTACTTCTATTTAGCAAATTGCATTCAATAATATGTCCTAAGTCAGAAGGAAGGAATCTCTTCTTCCTTAAAAGTATACTAAAAACATGTATACAACAAAAGAAATCAAACACACACTACTATTTGTCTATCTGAAAGGTTTTAAGCTCTCTTAAAATTTAGATTTAATTTTTTGTCCAAAAGAAGTAAGCTTATATAAATAGGTATCACTTCCTTTTCCTACAATAGTTTCTATGTGCCATACTGTCCTAGTTTAGCTGGGATAGAGTTCCTTTTCTTCCTAGAAGCTTGTACAGTGCTGTGTTTTAGGTTCAGCATGAGAATAATGCTGATAACACACTCATGTTTCAGTTGTTGCTAAGTCATGAAGTCGAGGACTTTTCAGTGTCTCACATTCTGCCAGTGAGGAGGTGCACAAGAAGACAGGAGGGAGCACAGCCAGAAGAGCTGACCCAAACTGGCCAAAGGGATATTCCATACAAGAGTGTCATGCCCAGTGCATAAACAGGGGGACATTGTCCAGAARCCACTGATTGCTTCTCAGRGATCAGCTGGTTGTGAGCAAYTGTATTAWGTATCAYTTGTTTYTCCTGGGTTTTAGTCCTCTCTTTCMGTTTTTCATTACAATTATYATCATATTCTAKTTTATTTTAATTATTAAACTTTTCTTACCTCAAACCACAGGTTTTACCTTTTTCTGATTCTCCTTCCCGTCCCGCTGGGGTACATGGGGAAGTAAGTGAGTGGCTGCACAGTATTTAGTTGCCAAAAGGGATTAAATGACAACAGTCTTTTCTGGCACCCAATGTGGGGATCGAAGGGTTGAGACAGCTGACCAGAGTACGTTAAAATAAATTTGCTATAAGCATTTTTAACACTAGTTTAACAGTTGCTGATCACAATGCTGATTTATTTGCTCTCAGAGGAGTTGTGCTGGTTCTCAGAGCTGCATTATGTAACATATTTCTCGCCGTTTTGGTGTTTATCACCTTTGGGGTAAGGTTATCATTCTGAAGTACTCTGCAATGCTGGCTGATATGATCTGATGTGATATATGGCATGATATAACATGACATGACAGGACTGCTGTGAAACCCGCCTGCTCCGTGCTCTGAGCACCATCCTCACCCTGGGCTCCGGGAGCCATCTAGCGGCAACTGCGCACAATTACACCTTTTACCCTTCCCCGAGAACCAACCGACAGAGGAGACATCGTCCCCTTCTTTCCCAGGCTAATTGCAACAGCTTTGAGAAATTTGACTATCCTTGGGAAGCTGAAACCATCAGGAAGCAGGATGTTGCTGAATGTGGTTGAGATCTTGTTTAGCATTAAGCAAATATTAGTATTTCAACCCTCCACTGCAAGTACTGYGGCTCCTCCAAACTCAGTGATGGGCACTGCAGGTGCTTGCTTGGACAGTTGCTGTGCATTTAGTAAYAAACATAAAAGTACATTCAGTTCAAATAAAAATGTATGTATTATTTAGCTATGAAAATAATTATATTTACATAATCTTTTGCAAAAATCTCCAAATTTAAGATCCTAACKCACCAACCTTGAACTACTGGGACASACCTGTTTAGTAYCYCATTTCAAAAATGAATCGCTCTCCATGCGTAAAAGATGGCTATCAGTTCTTTTTCAAATAAAAATAACATCTTCTTTATCATTAACAGATGTATTCTTTGACAAAGACTCCATGCAATTAATACTTACTTCCATTGGTCCCAACAATGAAATTGAGATTTGATCCAAACTCAAAAGGCCCCAAATTTGAATGGCACATGAAGTTCTTGAGCTGGATACTTTCAATTATCCCAAGTTCATCATCAGGCTAAAGAATGAAYAATTAAAACTGAAGTTATGTATGCATTTTAATGAGATTAAGTTTATATATTTTAAATGCAATGAGAATTAAAATGACAGTATGATATAAAACATAAGCCACAAGGAAACAGAAAGGTTTCATGACACTGTGTAAAGTTGCTTGCTTATAGAGCAGTACCAAAGCTAATCCCTCATACATAGTAATTTTCAGTTCTCCCTATTACTTACTTATCATCAATACAACATAAAAAATTAAGACAATAGATCTACAAAGTTGGCTGATCAAGTTAAAGCATATYATTAAGGGCATTGTCCARTGTCTTGTAAACACTGACAGGCTTGGGGYGCCAATCACCTCTCTAGGAAGCTGTACTGGCTTTGGATGGCAAGGTTGTGAACCAGAACAGAAGTTACAGGGGTGGCTTCTGTGAGAATCTGCTGGAAGCTTCCCCATGTCTGACAGAACAAGTCCCAGCCACCCCCAGGACAGATCCATTGCTGGCCAAGCCTCATCCATAATCAACGGTGATTGTGCCTCCAGGATATGAGTTAGGAAAGGAAAATTGCAATTGCAGCCTTTGCAGCCAGAAAAGAGTGAGAATGTGTGAGAGGAACATCTCAGCAGACACCAAGGTCAGTGAAGAAGGAGGGGCAGGAGATGCTTCAGGCATCAGAGCAGAGCTCCACCCGCAGCCCGTGGAAAGCCCTGTGACGGAAAAAGTGGATGCCCAGCGGAGGCTGTGACTCTGTGGGATGCCTACACTGGAGCAGGTTTGCTGGCAGGACTTGTGACCCCACAAGGGACCCACACTGGAGCAGGCTGCTCCTGAGGCACTGCAGGCACCCTATGGAAGGTGGACTGGTGTCCACCTCACTGGTGTGAGTCCACCCTCTGAACAGGAAGGAGTGGCAGAGTCAACATGTAATGAACTGACTGCAGCCCCCATTCCCAGTCCTTCCGTGCTGTTGGGGAGAGGAGATAGAGAAAACTGAGAGTGAAGATGAACCAAGGAGAGGTGGAGGGAAGGTGTTTTAGGATTGGGGTTTAATTCTCATTATTTCTCAAATCCTGATTTGATTGTTAATACATTCAGTAATTTCCCCAAGATGAGTCTGTTTTGTCCATGGCAGTCACTGGTGAGTGATCTCTCCCTGCTCTCATGTCAACCATGAGCCTTTTGTTATATTTTCTCTCCCCTGCCCAGGTGAAGACAGAGAGGTTTTGGAGCACATCTGGCACCCAGACAGGTTTAACCCCCCAGATAAAACGTGGTCCAGAGTCTTATCACTGGTAAAAAATGTTTCCTAATTCCAGTAAAAATACACAGGACAGTATTTGCAAACTCAAAAATTATTTTTTTTAAAAATCCTCCATCTAATTAAAATTTAATTATTAAAATAAAAGAAAAAAAAATCCTATTTTCAAGTTTCTTTTCCATCAAAATTTGCATTTCTAACACTAGATTTGTTTTTATACATCTGAAAGTGTCAGCTATGCCAAAAAAACAAGAATTTGGCACTTCTTTCAGTGAATATCTGGTTTTCTAAATATTTTCTTTGCTTTTACTACAACCAAAACTTAAATATACCACAGTTCTATCAAAATCCATTTCCTTAATTTATTTGATAACTTCAGTACTATTCCTTCTATAAAACCAAAATATTGTTACTTTAAAAGGACTATGACCCAAAATAAGGTAACATGTGAACTCATGCAGAAGTCCTCATCACAGACAGTACCTCTAGTTTATTTCATCTTTGTTCTACTGAAACCTACATTCAAGACATTTATTTCAATAAGCACAGAACTTTTCTAGTATCTTTGTCTCTATGAATTTTTAAACTACTTACTGACTGTGAACCTTCTTCCTCATCAGGCTCCTCTGATGTATGTACATCTGTGTATTCTTTTCTCTGCCTTTTCTGGGATCCAGAATKTGAAACACTTTCTTCCTTTCTCTTAGCCATGAGTACTGAAAAATGTAAATAATGAAATATTATAGATTTCAGTCTTCTAAGTGATAATATACCTACAGATGACAGTGCAGATATATTAAATTATTTACTTTAGTAAAAGAAGTATTAAGATCACAGCAAACTTTGCAGAAAATACTTTTCAAGAACTGAAATCTTGGTAATTTAAGGTTAAACTTATTATGAAAGAGATGCATCAAAACAAAAGAAACATAGTGTCACTATTCTAATCAAGTTCAATTTGTTGATTAAAAATAAAATCCACCCTGATTCCCTTGGTACATTAGACTTTGGAATACTTGCTAGAATTGGTTTTGGTTAGCGATGGATTAGAAGATTAGTGATAAAAAGTACATAACTAACACAACATGATCAACAGCATTAATGCAGGATTGATTAAAGTCAGCTGCATGGCCAAAAAGAAATTTATTTATTATTTGTGGTTGACAAAAGCTGAGAAAATTAATAAAACATAAAACACATAAAAGTAGAAAAAAGGAAAATTTAGATTCATAGCATTGTTACTGTGCTATTTCTTACACACAAGGTAGTATAACCACAGTAAACAAACTGCTCCTAATAAAGAATAACTATTCTCTCTGTATATAGGACATATATAAATTTCCTCTACAAATCAATAAATAACACACAGACTTCCAGCACTAATACAACTTGTCTGCAACAAATCTTGCAAAAGTAACAAACAAGCTTTATGGGTAACAAATCTTGCAAAAGTAACAAACTTTTTATTTAACAAAAAAAAAATCTCATACTTTCTGTAACCATAAGCTTATGGCATGGTTTTTATACCCTCAAAAGTACATGTTATGTTCTTTATACCTAGAGGCCCAAAGTCCTACACCAAACACAGACATTTACATACTTGCCCAAAGTAGAAGCAAGGTGCTATTTACACAAATGCAATACAAAGTCTTTTTGTTAGTAGTTAAGTGAGCTACTGCTAAATATCCAAAACAGACTTAAACTGACATCAGTTGCAGAGTTTTCCAAGACCAAAACTTTTTGGAAATGGATTATATTCTCCTACTCAACTTTGTTTACTGAAATGTAGTCTAGAGCTCCCTTCTAAGTTTAATGCACTCATCAGTTTGAGCAAAATTCAGAGGCATTAAATGTTCTTAACATTGACTGCTATAGAAACATCACTGCATGACACATGGCTTAAGAATGCTTACTTATAAAAATACCTTAATAATCATTCTTTTAAAAAATGTGTGGAGCACAAGAAAGAATGAGATATTAGTAGAGTCATTAGAGACACAGCATGCCCAAAGTTGATAATGTATCTAAACACACTGGGGGCCCAGAGGCCAAAAGACTCCTAGTAATAGATACAGGTGATGACAACAAGCGAGCACTTCCTTGTCCGTGGGACAAATGGAATGACCAGGAGAGAAGTCATACAGGTCAGCCTAACAGTTCCTAATGATCTCCTGCAGCCCAGAGGGAGGTGACACAGTCTGTGAGAAAGCTGGATGCAGTGCACAGCCTCAGGACCCCATGGGGCCCCCTTGTTAAAGCCCTGAGCCTCTCCCTGAGCTTCTCAGTGGGTCTTGTTCCACATTCCCTCCCTAAATCTTTTAAGATTAGTGACTTGGAGAATCTACAGAGAACTCAATGAAATAAAGACTGCTGAAGCACAACTTTAATCATAAGAACTCGTGCTGTAATGGAGAGGAGCTGTCTTTCTTCCCTCTGTCTCTTCTCATTCTGTCTCATCATCCTGGGTCCAAGCAGATCTTTATGCAACAAAATAATAAATCAACCCAAGGCTCTGATTCTACTAAAAGGTAATGCAGGAAAAACTTCYTTCTTTTTACATTAGGCAAGCTTTCTAACCACTTCACCATGCAGATCTGTGTGCGTGGGGCATTGTGGAGAAAGAGATGCTTCTTTGASCAGTTTCCTTGTGTCAGCTTAATGTTCTGGTTAAACTATTGCCTGATTTCAACTCACACAGCTCATACTACAAAGCATCACAGAGAACAGCATTTATTATAAGAGACATAAGACATTAAAATTTCTCACATAATTACAAAGAATATCTAATTTTTATTCTATGTATTTGTTGACTGCTTTATAAGATACAGTGTCTTATGATCCGCTCATTAAATTCARTAACACAGTATCTAAATGATAAAAAAAATGGTATTGATCCCSTTCCATTATGTGCAATGAACAAAATTCAAAGCAAATGTAGAAATAAAATAAACTTCCCATCTGACACTCTCACAAAAATTTTGTATGGTAGGGATTTCTTGATAAAATACTTGTGGAGGAAGAGGAGGAGAATGATGATGATTATTGTTGCTATTTTAATATTATTATTACAATGATTATGCCCATTAACTATTTAYGGCAAAACTCTCATATCCACTTTATGTTATGTAGTTTAACATTACACACATGAAAATCAAGGAGCAAATACACTCATGATTTAGTTTACATACCTTTTGCTATACTACTCTTGGTGTACTAAAAAAACATGCCTTCATGCCCAAATTACTCAGACCAGGAAACAGTCACTTGCAAGCTCTTGGCATCCATCACCAAATAAAAAAGACCAGTATTCATTGAATCTGCTGTTCCATTAAAATCTTTCTCTGAAAAGAAGGGAAAACATAAGCTTTAAATGTTGTAACATCCAAACATAAAGATGAGAACTATGAGTTCCATTGCTATAATATTTGAAGACTTAAGGAAAAGAGAGTGTAAGAATAWAAAATAGAATAAAATAATCTCATGCAATCTATACTGTGAGGAAGACAAAAGACAGAACAATCTGCACCTCAAAACTGTTGAAGAACAAGTACTGCAAAAAAACCCCCTGGAGCTGCAAGCATCCTGTATTGATTAGCCTTGTATTTCGGTTTGAAAGACAGGTGTCTGCCATGGCAGGCAGGGACTTCCCTTGGAATGGAGAATATGACCCACTTCCCCCAAATTATTTTAACTTTGAAATTAAGCGGCTTTCAGGTAAAGATATGGGGGAAAAGAACAACAGGTCTTTATTAGTATGTATAACAAGACAAACAAACAATAACAAAAGCACCAACAAAGAAAACCAGAAGCCCAGTGCCAGCGTGCTCTGGGCCATCCCACACCCTCCCCTTTGGTGCAGTTCTGGTCACACGCGGCAGGGGGCGCTGTGGCGGTGATTTCCCGCCGGCAGGGGGCGCTGTGGTGCTGATTTCCCGCCGGCAGGGGGCGCTGTGGCGGTGATTTCCCGCCGGCAGGGGGCGCTGTGGCGGTGATTTCCCGCCAGCAGGGGGCGCTGTGGCGGTGATTTCCCGCCGGCAGGGGGCGCTGTGGCGGTGATTTCCCGCTGGCAGGGGGCGCTGTGGCGGTGATTTCCCGCTGGCAGGGGGCGCTGTGGCGGTGATTTCCCGCCGGCAGGGGGCGCTGTGGCGGTGATTTCGCGCCGGCAGGGGGCGCTGTGGCGGTGATTTCCCGCGCCAGCAGGGGGCGCTGTGGCGGTGATTTCCCGCGCCAGCAGGGGGCGCTGTGGCGGTGATTTCCCGCGCCAGCAGGGGGCGCTGTGGGGTGATTTCCCGCCAGCAGGGGGCGCTGTGGCGCGGGTTCCGCCCCATCTTCCCTCACGCGGTGATGGCGGGCGGGTTGGATGGCGGGACGGGCGGGCTGCAGCAGGAACCTCAGACCTGCGGCTGGGGCAGGGGCTGGCTCACCCGGCAGAAACTCCACAGCTGTGGCAGGAGCCGTGAGGTGCCCCAGAAAGGGAGGTTACAATGTAACAGAAACCCGATGAAGGGCAGAGAAAAAAAAAAACTCCCGAACCGGAAGAGGCTCCATCAGAGAGGGATGGGATCGGGGTCCCGGGTTTTCCCTTGCAGCACCCCAGTAGATGGGGATAGTCTTTTCTAGGGAGATAGGGTGTTAATAAGGTCTCAATTCAATGCTTGCTCTTACGCATAAAGCCTCACTCATGTTAGGAGAAACAAAGTAGGAGAGGGAACTCCTCAGTGATGCAGCATTCTTCCCGCAGTGAATGCCAYCTGTCTGCCCTCCGAATGCCCAGGGAGCAAGAAAGCCATGAACTGCCCCAGCCCCTTTTTCTCCAGCCCAAATCTCACGGTATCTCTGCTCCTCTAAGAGACACCCTCCAGATAAGGGGTTCACAGCTGCACCCTTCCCCGGGAACCGGGCTAGTTTKTTTGTCTTAAGAACTAGTCCGTATTGTCTCTTAGCAACAGATGGRCCAAAAYTGCATTWAARAAAAAGAAAAATCATAACCTCCAACACCTCAGAAATTATGACAAATATCAGTGGATGCAGCACTGCACCCAAGTACAAAAAAAAGCCAAAAGGACCAAGAAACTGATTGCAGCCACAAGGAACCCACTAGTAACATTTTACAAGAAACAAGGCTTTAGAAAAACACAGGAAGAAATAATCAACACTCTTTAAAAAAATATACAGAAAATGACACATTTGAATTTTATCTTCACATCAACTTGGTATTTTTGACAGGAAAAGTTCCTTTTGTTACATTAATTGCTCCCAAAACTCGTGTACAAAGACACCCTTAATTTTCTTCATTAAGTTTTTAATTGAAAAAAACATTGCCTTCAGTCTCAGCACTACTTTCCCTAACTTTAAAAACAGTTTGGGAATAAATATTCAAGGCAAATGAAAAGTAGCTGATCCAATCAATCTGAAGATTATTAAAGCATTCAATACTACACTAGAAACAAATTGGCAAAAACATACATCAATACATTTTAAAGTATGTAAYAGACTACTGCGAAGCCAACAATGAACATTACTGACAAATGTTAACAAARGGGTTTTTTTAAWGGACCAGGCAGCATACTTAAAAATTGAAGTATACAATATACTTCAGTATGTTGGAAAATGCATCAGTTTAAAATTTTCGATATAACTTTAGTCAGGGATTTTGKTTTGCCTTTGCCTTGGAGAAAGGAATTTTAAGGTTKTTTTMAGTGATGTCACAGGCACCACTCAATGGAAATGAGCTTAACATTTCAACAGACTGGGAGTAGCTCAAAAGATAACGGCCATCAGCAAATATCAACGAACATCTACCCCAGACATGGTGGGGTCCGAGCACCTAGTCTGGGAAAAGAGAGCTAAGAGGGAGGACCTAATCAGCATTGGAAGTGAAGAAATCCAAATCCAATAGGAAACCAAATACTAAAGACTAGGCAACTTTGGACCAATGAACATTAAACCAATGAAGTTCTATGGGCTTTGACTGTATAAAGTTTGGGGGAAATCTTGTAAAACTGATGTGCAATGAAATTATTTTCTCTGTGCAMCCAGACAATGTGTGGATAAAGCATTTTCTGTTGCACATCCTGGCCAGAACAACATCCTGGCCAGAAAATAAAGTACTGCCTTGACTGGAGAGTTTTTGTTTTTCCTGCAGTTTCAGTGACAATTTTGGCGACCACAAAGGTATGACACTTTCAATGCTGTATGGATTCCAAGATCCTGAAGACCTCCAAGTGCACATGGAAAATGTTACTCAGGGAGATCCTGTGTTCCTGGAGTCCAAGATTTCTGTTGTTTTTTTTTTTTTCTTTTCTTTTTTTTTTTGTGGTTTTTTTTTTTTTTTTTTTTTTTAATAAAAGGCATTACTTTAGGGTTAATTTAAGATTGGTATAATTGAGTAATGAAATCACTAGCGATGGTATAATCAGCTATCTGTTAAATACATGTGTGAAATTATATAATTGATTATCAAAAAATGGGTTTGAGAATTACTATGTTTATAATAATGAATTTGAGTCTTGGTGCCTYGTTAAAATGCAATTGCATAGTAAATTCTAAAGTCTTTAGTGTACACAAGGTGTTTGTTGAAGGGATTAGGGCTCATTCTTTAGGWACTGTCAGAAACTTGATTTGATATAAGAGGTATACCAAATCTTGCAATTGACTGCTTGAATTGTGAGTTTCTTAAGAGTGTGTGTTAATTTGAACCTTGCTGGCACAAAAGTAATATGGGGACACCCATGAGAGTTTGCTGAATGTGTGGAGTTGCCTTTTTGTGTGGCTTTGTGTGGAATAGCCAAAATTGGCTGGTTAAAATCCTGAAGSCAATTCTGTGAGCTTGTTTCCTTACAACAGTTTGTTATCAGTTGCAAAAGTTAAAATAAGGTTTTTCTTGTGAAAAGCCAGAACTGGCAGGTTAAAATCCTGAAGCCAAATCTGCAGGTTTTATTGTTTATTATTCCAAGGAGTTTGAKGCTCCTTCTGTAAAACTGATTTAGGGTTCAAGTCCCTTTTGCATGGTTTGATGTGGAATTGTGCTGTCCCGAGCGGGTTCAAGTCCTTGAGGGTTTTGAGTCCTCTCTGTGCTGCCCTGTGAGTTAAAATCCCTTGTGCCTTTGGAATAGCAGGTTTGAGTGCTGCAGGGTGTATTGTGCTGTCTCTAGGATTTCCAGTCTCCTGTGAGTATCGCAGCTCTGGTGTTGTGGAGTTGAAGTCCCTCTTGTGCTGCTGCTGCATGGAAGTGTTGAGTTCAYGTCTCAACTATAAGGATTTGCAGGSTTGARTCCTGCAAGGTGTACTATGTRTGTTTTCGATTTGGGCCATGTGTTTTTCTACCTGCCCAGGCTATACATGTAGCAGAGTTTGCTCAGGTTCTTTGAATTTTTTTAAGAATGTGTGTGTACGCGAATTGCCTGTGGATTTGAGTCTTGCCAGCATATAAACCATCACAGGTCCACCTGTGAAACAAAGCTCCTTGGCTGAAAGTGTTAAAACGTAATTTTTTGAATGTCCGTTGAGTTTTAGTGTGTGCTATTGGAGAAGTTTTTTGTGGGCATGTATGTAGCTGTCCAGGAAGAGAAGCTGCTGTGCCGAGCACCTTTAGAGATGCAAATTAATGCTGCTGAGGGAAGGTGTGGACAATGTATTAGGGTCCTCCTGCCTGSGGGAGAAGTTTGGCTAAATCTCTCTGGCCCTCAATCCCAAGCTCTGCCTGCTTGCAAAGACAAAATTTACATACCAAAGGTAAAGCCCATAGTGGTGATATGTCATTGTGCAACAGAATTGGTTACATCTCAAAATAAAACTTGCAAACAGAGAAATTTTCAAAGGGGGCGAGGGGAATTTGCAGAAATTCAGCCCTCTCCCCACTTCAACRTRTGTTACCCTTGTACAAGTTTATTTTGATGTYATTAATAACTCTGAATGTTCAAGTGTATCCTCATCAGATAAAAAGCCAAGCATATCCAGACAGACTGGAGGAAAAGAACCATTCAAGCTGCAGAAGTAGGAAGGACTGCTGACTATCCACACAACTGCTGAGATCTGYGGCGAGACTCCTCCATTATGTGAATAAAATTAACTCCAAACAAAGAAGAACACAAAGGAACTATATTGAACAACATAATAAACAATAAATCTGTTAAAAGCTACAATGAAACACGAAATTCCAAAATGAAATTAAATGGTTTACTTTTTTTGTATTTCCAGAACAGTGTCATCAACGTTATTCCTGAATCAGTCAGCTATCCTAGCAGAGCCTTGTAATAATCCCTTTAACAGCAGGCATGACTTCAGATGCAAAAGGACAAGTAAGCCACAGAATGGTACTCTTTTTACTACCACTCTAACACATGCATATAAAACAAAGGCTACATTAATAATTGGCTTAAATCTAAATTTGCAAAATTGGAATATAACCATATGTAAACCAGACAAAAATAGTTTTTATCATAAAAATGAAAAAGGTTTCAAAAGGATGGCCGGCTACTCTAAGAAGGTCCTAAGACCAAGTAAATTCTGTTATAAACGGTCACATTTCTAACTTATTGTCACTATGTTTATATTAATGTATGTTTTGTAAGTTTTATATATTTTTTCTTACTGGTTTCCACAGTGGATGGAATAAGTTCCTCAGTCAATTCAATTTTGGGAGCTCGTATACTTATGGAAGCTAATCTGTGTACCTCTTCCTATCTCCTCAGGGCAMAACATAAAATTACTGAAGGAAGTACGTGTAGTAATGGTAAGACATGTTATTGTGCCAAAAAAGTGGCACCTGGAAAATTCTCTCCAGTTGTAGAAATGACTAAAAGAAAGATTTCAGATTGATTTTGGAGCAGCACTGACAGTTTTAGTTAGGAATTCCAGTATGCCTTCCTCTCCTTTCTGCTCTGTTTGCTAGAAATCCCACCAAAGGTGCGGGGAAGGTACTCTGATTAGATCACAAAGAGAAAACGAACATTGCAGTAGTCCTTGTCTATCTCGAACCATGGTGTTGGATGCAAAAGACTGGAGAGATTGATGTCTCTGAGATACTTCAGGATGCCGGCGGTGGGAGGGGTGGTGTCAGGTGAGGCAGTGAACTGCTCCTCACACCTCCCCCAGAGCCAGCATCACAGCCCTGCAGGAGTGCACAACAGAGGCAGTGCTCCATTCTCCCATCTCTCCAGAAAACAAAAAATCCCACTGGGCAAGAAAAGACCCAAGAAGGCAAAGGGAATTAACATTCCTCTTAGAATTTCCATATGGGTGCTTTTCTATATATTCTCTTCCTTCTTTTTCTTCAGATTTTTTCTATGTATTCTCTGTCTTTCTCTTCTTCTTCAAAAATTTTAATTAGTATTGGTTAAGTCAGTAAGTTAAGAGGAAGTGACCTTAAAATTCAGGTCACTTTCAGAGGGGGAAATTGCTGGAAAATGTACCAGCTTAAAATTTTCGATATAACTTTCGTCAAGGATTTTGGTTTGCCTTTGCCTTGGAGAAAGGAATTTTAAGGTTGTTTTCAGTGATGTCACAGGCACCACTCAATGAAGATGAGCTTAACATTTCAACAGACTGGGAGTAGCCCAAAAGGTAACGGCCATCAGCACCAGTGAACATCTACCCCAGACATGCTGGGGGTCCAAGCACCTAGTCTGGGAAAAGAGAGCTAAGAGGGAGGACCTAATCACCATTGGAGGTGAAGAAATCCAAATCCAATAGGAAACCAAATACTAAAGACTATGCAACTTTGGACCAATTAAACCAACATTAAACCARTGAAGTYCTATGGGTTTTGACTGTATGAAGTTTGGARAAAATCTTGTAAAAMTGATGTGCCATGAAATTATTTTCTCTACACAYYCGGGCTATGTGTGGATGAAATKATTKCTGTTGCACATCCTGGCCAGAATGTCCTGGCCAAAAGAGAAAGTAATGCCTTCACTAACATTAAAAATGTTCTWGGAGAGTTTTTGCCTTTCCKACAGTTTCAGTGACAAGTATATTGCAATATAAAGAAAGACTATGTTAATGGAAACCTGTRATGACAGAGTCAAGTTAATAATTCAAACAATAAACCAACAGCCATTCAGAAAGAGAAATCAAGGGTACTGCTTTAATTAAGAAAATTAACTTTCACTATCATGGAATGTAACAGCATACAATTAGGAATAAAAACTGGACCTATAATTGGAAGGAAATATAGGCAAGAYAGATTCAATTATAAAAACAATCAAAGGATCACTACAAATTATGACAAGCAATTGCTAAGCATATAATAAGACCATGAAAGAAAAATGCAAGCCCCAAATGTCCTGTACAGAACTATTAGGACTGCTACATGTTAAAGTATTTACTGTGTACACATGAAAAGATAGGAAGRCACAGGCTGCATCCACTGATGTTCTATCTTTCCACAGTTTCACTGCAATGGAGTTCCACAACTGTTTCCTTTTTCCCTACCTGGCTGGTCACAGCTGGCCTCATCCAGAGCTGACACAACCAACCTGCTGTCACCAAACCCACACCACTGGCTTTCTAGCAGCCCTCACCAGCCTGGTGTCCACCTAAGGTAGGAAGGTGTCCCATCTGTCCAGTGGGACATCGATTTTAACCACTCTGGACCTACCCCTGGTATAACCCTGTCTCTTTCATCCAGCTGGCAAAACAGAGGTAAAGCAAAGATATCAGAACAGACCKATGGTGGGATGAACACAAGATATGGGAAGAAGCAAAGGGTAGTAAAGGAAGAAAACACCTGAGGTCTTTAGCTSATATATATCACACTACATTTAACAGTCACAAAGATAACAATAAAATTAAAAATTAACACCAGCAGTTAATAATAATAAAGAAAGCACAACATTAGCTGTTGTATTTAAAGGAAGGTATTTCATGGGGCTAAAGTCAGAAGTCCAGCCACATACACAGCAATGGGGTGCTTTACATTTTTTGTGAGTATCTGAGCCAGATGTTCCAAGTTAGACTACCTGTCTGATGTTCACAATTCCTCTCCTAATATATTTGCAGCCAGCGCATAAGAGGCCTATACCATCCCATCTAGACACAGGAAAAGCACTGCCTGACCCACAGAATCACAGAATGGGTAAGGCTGGAACGGAATAAAGCSGGTCATCTGGTGCAACCTCCCTGCTCAAGCAGGGTCATTCTAGAGCACATGGCATTGTGTCCAGACTGTTCTTGAATATATCCAGTGAGGGAGACTCCAGCCTCTCTGGGCAATCTGTTCCAGTTCGTGCTCATCTGCACAGTACASATGTTCCTCCTCATRTTCAGGTGGAACTTCCTGAGCATCAGTTTCTGCCCGTTGCCTCTTGTCTCACTGCTCGGCACCACTGAGGAGAGCCYGGTCCATCCTCTTGACACCCTCCCTTCAGATATTTATACAGCTTGAGGTCCCCTCTCAGCAGTCTTTTCTCGAAGCTGAGCAGGCTCAACTCCCTCAGCCTTTTCCTCATGAGAGAGATGCTTCAGTGCCTTAATTACCTTTCCCAGCCCTCCACTGGACCCGCTCCAGGAGCTCCATCTCTCTTGCACTGAGGAGCCCAGAACTGCACTGCGGCACAGAGGGCAGCTCCGCCTCCTCTACGGACAGCGAAAACGAAAGAGGRGCAGAAATCCCCCAAATCCACGATTACCTGTTGCCTTTCCCAAGACTGCACGACCCGGAAGGATCCCCTACTCCCTAGAAAAGAGACACGGTCCCTTGGCGGCTGGAACGCCCAAGCGGCCGCCGCTCCCGCTCTCCGCCGGCAGAAATTGGCACCCGCGGGGAACGCTCACAGCCGCACTGGGCAGCGGGTGACAAATGCCAGCTCCAACCGCTAACAGGCCCCGCGGAGCCACCTGCGACAGCACCGGCGGCGCGGGGCCGGGGGCAAAGGGCGGAGCGGGGGCAACGGGCGGAGCGGGGGGGCAGCCGTTGTTCCGCCTCGCGGCCACCAGGCCGCCCCCCCCCCCCCCCCCAGCCGTTGTTCCGCCTCGCGGCCACCAGGCCGCCCGCCCTCCCCTCCCTCCCTCCCAGCCGTCCAGAGCGGGTGCGCACCCGGACAGCGCCCGCCAGGACCCTCGCCCGGCACGGGTCACCCGTCCCTTCTCTCCTTTCCCCTCGCCCCTCGCCTGCTCCGCGGCGCGTTACCTGGGACAGCTCCCGATCGCGACACAGCGGGGCGGACGGGGCAGGACGGGCCGGAACGGGCGGAAGAGCCTCCGCCGCGARCGCGGCGCCTGCGCGCTCCGGGCCTCGCGGGGGCCGTTTCCGTGCGCGCGCCATTTTCGGGTGTGGGGGGGCGGAGCTGTGGCGCCTCTGGAGCGGGTCCGAGCGGGCTCGGCGGGGCTCCCGGCGGGGCTCCCAGCGGGATCCGAGTCACTGCCGCTCCCCGCGGAGGGGGACTCGCTGCCGAGCCGGGCTGAGCACCCGCGGGGAGCCCGGGCACGCCTGTTCCTGTGGACGCGGTGCGCGGGCAGCGCTGGCGCAGCGGGGCGGGAGTTTCAAACGCTGCGGGCGGGGAGCGCGCTCAACCGGGGCTGCGCTGCGCGGGTTTGTGTTCATCCAGCGGGAAAAATCCGGAGGCGTTTGAGGAGGAATCTGCAAATGCTGGAGCACGCCGCTGCTGTACTTCGGGTGCGCAGGTTTATGGGCAAAGCTGTGCTGGAGCAGCTCAGAGACAGGGGCAGAGTGGTAAAAACGTCTGGGCTTTCCTGTTACCTCCGCCGTCTCCGTATCTTTCCGTCTCCACTGCACTTTTCCTCCCTGTATTTTTCCGCCTTTTTAAAGGCCTCTGGATGAGACATAAAATACATGCTTGGCTGTCTTTTCGGGTTATCTTGGTAATGTGTGAAAGTGTCTCTGTATGGATTGAATTGCAGCATTAAATACTTTCTGTAGGTTTTTTTTTTGTTTTTTATTTTTTTTTTGTTTGTTTTGTTTTGTTTTTTTTTTTAGTAACTGGCTTTACTGGCTGTGTACGAAACTTGCTGGAGCAGAATGTAGTCTTAAAACACGATACARAACATACAAGCTTTATAGCTTTAGCACATTCTGGTCTAAAGAGACATTGAAAATGTTTTATGGAGGGGATTATGTTTACTGTTAATGATCTCCAGTGATTTCTAAGTATATGAAAATAAGTTCAGTCTTGCTTCTTTGTAAGCTGCTCTCTCKAGGGTTGTGATGAACTAAGCTCTTAAATAAAATCTGAGTAGACAGTTCTTTTATATTAAGAATATTTGACTTATTTGTACTCAGAATCCAAGTTTAAATATTTTACAATATAAAGACTGGTTGGTTTTGCAGGCTTCCATAATTCACTCTTAGATATTTATTCAGTGCGATGAAAAACTTAAGTCACCAAATAGTTATATTTTATTACAATGAAAAAGTCGGCCTTTTTTCTTTTTGGTTTTCAACTTTTATACTTGTTTTTCTATTATTTGTGATCTGATGAAATGGAGGGTATTTGCATTATGTTTGTCTTTCCCATTAATTAAGTACCATGTGACACYCCATGACAGTATTTAGAAACTAACACAGTCTTTTTAAGAAATTGTATTGATGTAGACTGGCAGAAAGCAAATGATAACACCAAAAAGGCAATTCCCTTCTTTGTTACGTGTTCTGTCACTGAAGCTGAATTACTGTGCTTGTCTTTAGGGAAGGTTTGGATACCTCCCCTGTACATAAGGGAAATTGATCTTCCTGGACTTCAAGAAATTGTATACCATGTATTTGTATGCTTTATTTGTATTTTTAACTTGTTTTATCTTCTTGACGTGTAACGACAAAAGCAATACCCCRTATGCATACAATTTAAATGAAGTTGAGTGATTGTAGTAGTTAAAGAAATGGTTTAGAATGTGAATTCTGATGAAAGTAAACCTTAATATGAGAACTTGATTTTAAAACAACCTGAAATTGAATAGCTGACTTGCTTTAAAACAGAATTAAAGATGGCACCCTCCAAAGGCAGGCTTTCTRTTCTGACAGATAGTGATGTTAAACGTGAGAGACCATGCAGTGACTTCGCTCCTCAGGTGTATTAAACAGATATCTGAGCACAGGTAGGTCATCTAGTCTGATTTATTCAAAGGAGCATTTTAATTTATCTGAGTATACAGTAGTGTCACAAATACAGAACATTGCTGATTTTATTTGATTTTTATATTCTTATATTGGGGGAGAAGAGAGAAAATAAGTAAGTGTGAGACAAACTTTGTAAAATAAGACAGTGCCGGAATAAATTAGTATTGTGAGGGGGAAAAGGACAGTAAATGCTAGAGGCCTTGTATAAAACTGGCAAGGTTTGAAAACCAGAAGAATAATAAAAACARAAGAAAATGAGTGCCATGTGGTACCATGGAGAGTGGAGCTGTATAAGTTAAATAAGACAAATGCACCACCTAATGGGTGTATGTTTTCAGCTAGCATGTGTTATGGTTATTACTAGTCGCACAATACCAATAATGACACACTAAAAACATACACACCGCTGTGTTTCTGCAATCACAGTGTTAGGAATGTCGAAACATTTGTTGGAAGGGTMTTCCAGAGGTCATCATGTTGTGTTGAGAGCTTGGTAACAAGTGAAGTTGGCCCAATCCCGTTGGGCTACAGAAGGGTGCCCCTCACAGAAGGGCTCTGTGATTGCCTGAAGTATTAAGTTTGGGTTCTATGCCTTCCTTAAGTAACAAATTGTTGAGAAATGWAACAATTCTGATTAATGTTCTTATCCCTGGTTAAGAAACAGGTATACCATCTTGAGGCAGGTGTGTATTTTGGGCGGAGCTATTCCCCAGGAATCCAGGGCCAGAATACAATAATGCCTTCTTAATACTACTTTGGAATTCTCTTCCCAAATTTCGGTGCCAATCACTGTTCATTCCTGGCTCAGAGAKACTTCCACCAGCATTGGGTTAATGCCAACTGGATGCTAAGAATCTGAAATTTGTGGACAACCGCTGCTTCAATACGATCTGTCTTTTTTCCTGAACTTCAACTTGAATTTCCCAGGCCAGGATCTCTGGGTATTGACCCTATCATGTTGGAATGCAAGGAAAGTTTAAATTCTGTAATTGTAAATATTCCTCAAGTAACTTTAAYTGATGTCTATTTGAATGGAAAATTTTAATGTGAGTCCTACTTCAGATCAGTAGTTAATTGCCTCAGGAATCCTGTGGTCTTTTTGATAAAACTTGGATTGTTTTTATGTAAGGGACATATGAGACTTGGAAATGAATATTTTTTCTTTATTTTTCTTTTCCTCAACTGAGTTTATTTTTGTTTATGTCAGCTAATTAGTAATGCAACTGTTCAGTCCTAAGAAGGAGTTTAGTAATAAACTTAAAAGACATGATTGCAAGAATCATAAAAGTAGAACTGATAATGGCAAATATATTTATCCTCAGAACCTGACATTCATAATATGTTACACTTCATGTCATATTCTGAAACTGTTCTGTTTTTTTCATCTTCACAGCTAAAATCTTCCTTCTTCCAATAAAGAAGCTAAAACAATGGGAGTGACTGCTCTGTGGCAAATCCTCGAGCCTGTGAGACAACCTGTCCACCTGAGTAGTCTCAAAGGCAAAACACTTGCTGTTGATTTAAGTTTATGGGTTTGTGAAGCACAGACTGTTAAAAAGATGGTTGGAGTAGTTACCAAGCCACATCTCAGGTATGATACCTGTGTAGGTTATTTGAGCCAAAAAATCTTGGAGCTGTATAATTTAAATATGTTACTTATTTAAAAGACTTCTAAATGTAGCTCTGAAATTCATATGGCTGGTGTTTGGATTCAGTTATCACTTATGCTWCTTATGTAAAGGGTTTGGAGTTAATTTTAAGCAGACCCCCATRTTGAATTAAATATTTTTAAATCATTCTTCAGGCATTTGAGCAACCTTGAAGAATATGTATATTTTTAATTTAAATGAGTTACTTAAGGAATGAACTTGTCTAAGGATTTATAACTTCAAAGCATTGTTTTCTGCCGACAATGTTGACAAAAATGAAAATATACAAAATTTTCATCAGTGCATGTTATTGGTTATCAGTGCAAGAATATTCAGTTACGAGATGGTGTTACACACTCCTATGATTTCTGTTGAATACAGCATGGTGTGAAATATCAGCATGATACTCATTTGGTCACTTCAGATGTTCAGATTTGAGAAATTTGGGGTTAATATTTGATACCTAAGAATCAATGTAAATATGTGTTTGGAAGCAGATTTTGGATGCTGAACTTTTTAAATTAAGCTCTTTAAGTTTGCTTACATCTTTACACCCAAAAAAAGATGTTTCTTGTCCTTGCGTGGTATTTTCTTGGGAATTTTGTAAAGCTGATACAATTTCATAGTATGACTATGTCAACCAAAGACAGGCATAGAGCTCAATGGTTTGTTTAGCTTGGGGGCGAGAGAATCGTTAGAGGTGGAAACAGTGCTAGGATTTTTCCTGAGGTAGACTCAGGAAAACATAAAGGATGTAAGGAACATATTTGAAGAAATCAGGCTTCATGAATAGTACAACTTACGGAACACTTTGATTTATTGCAGAAACCTATTTTTTCGGTTCTCTTTCTTCACATCAATGGGAATTAAACTAGTGTTTGTCATGGAAGGAGAGGCCCCCAGGTTGAAAGCAGACACCATGAGCAAGAGGAATGAAGTGCGCTATGGTCCTCCAAAGAAAGCTGGAGCTGCAAGAACAGGGAGATCTTTATTTAAAGCCATGTTAAAAGAGGTGAGTAACTGAGGGCTGTGTCAGTATTGTGAATAGAAAGAAATCTTAACTAAATTAAGCACAGGAACTTGAAATAATTAACAGCTTTTGTAACAACCTTCCCGGAAGGGTGGGTTCTGAAACTGAAGCTGAGGTTCTTGTTACTAGATCTGTTATGGGGAATGACACTGGAATGACTGGCGTGTACATCTTTTACACCTGAGGCAGTTGTGTAGGGAGGAAATTGGCAAAATAAAAAGAATTATTCCCACCTCACAGTACCTGTTTATTATCAGCCTCGCCCAGCTCAGAGCCCAGCTTGTTTCTAAACAAAGGCTGGTTTTTCATGGTCTCTTCCCATGGTGAGTGTGCACCCCTTCTGTCTTAAATGGATCAGAGGTTTCACCACCACACACCCAAAAACTCTCCTGCTTTTCTGCTGTGAGGTGCAAACCTGGCCTCAGCAAAGCACCTCCTGCTTTTGCAAATGGCCATTTGGTTCATTCATTAACCCCTAATATTTCAGCCTCTCACAATTTTCTACACAACAAATGTAAACAATATTTTGAGGTTTGAAGGAATGGGCACCTTTGAAGTCAGGCCTCACAGCATCTCTTAACTGTTGTGGAAGAAATATAATGTCAGAATAATTTTCTCATTTGTTATGTTCCTGTGCATGTGTTGTTGTAGTGAGTGACAACCACAAYTGAGCATTTATTACAAAATTTAACATTGTTGTTCTTTTAGATATTACCAGATCTTTTGGTATCCATACTCCTTTGTATCCTCCCACCCCCATTAGCCATTTTTGTCTATTCAAAACTTTATTCAATAGAATTTATGGACAGTCACAGCTTTGCTAGATTGTACATACAAATTCATGTTTTATTCTTTAATTATAAAATAAATTATTTTCTCTGAAATTTGGGAGTACACGTCAGTGTGTCTTATGCAGTGGTCCAGTCTTYGTAGAATGACAGCATTGTACTTTTGTGTTTGATATTCTCGGGGAGTTTGGCACCTGTTGGAAGATGTCTGTGCCAGCTCAGCATTAGTGCTTGAATAAACACCATTGCTTCACAGAGATAAATACTCCTTTGTTACTCTTCTTTTGAAAAATCCTAAATATCTTTTTAAAGTGTAAAGGTCTTTATGAAGGAGTGGCCATTAATCATACTGTGTTTTAAATTCTGTAATTAATACTTAGCTTTCTGTGGATMTTTACTTTTCACTGTTACAGGAAACTGTTTTTGCTAAAGTAGTGCTTTCATTGATATATAGGCAGTGCAACAGTAACAGTTTTTATGTGCACTTATGTCTATATAGAGAAAATGCATGCTAATTAGTGAATTTAATAGCTCAACATTCAATCCCTTTTCTTTTGTGTTCCTTCTTTCAGTGCCTTGAACTGCTGGACTGTTTAGGTGTCCCTTGGGTTCAAGCAGCTGGAGAAGCCGAGGCAATGTGTGCCTACCTAAATGCAAAAGGATATGTTGATGGCTGCATTACCAATGATGGAGATGTTTTCTTGTATGGAGCTCAAACAGTTTATAGGAACTTTGCCATGAATGCTAAGGTAATGTACCTCACCCTGTTCCCAGCCTCTCTATAGACAAAAATGTAAATRGAAAGAAGGGACTTGGAAAAAATACTTAAGTGTTATTCTACTTACTTTGTAGTAGTTGGTTTGTTTAAAATAGTATCTGTAAGACAGGAACATTTTATTTAATTCACTAGTAATTCTTGTATTGGCTGTGAGAGAAAAAAACCTGAGAATTGGGTAATATTGCCTATGTTTGTAGTAACCTGTGATGTCTCATATAAAGCTAAAAAAGCAAACTTTCTTCCTGTTTCCTCACTTATAATGGAGAAGTTGAGTGAAGTAATTGCTTCCCATCAATTTTACCCTTTTTTTATCTTGGGTCTATTAAGTGTTCACATACTTTATCTTACAGGTTCATTTTATTATGAATATACTTGTGATTAATGCTGTTAGTTCCAATTTAGCATGAATAGGGTAGGGATTATACATCTGTATCATACTCAATTGTTGTGATCATTCAAAAACCCAAATAATTTATGGTCTTGAATTGAAGTGTTCTTTTGTTAAGAATACAATTTTCCAAAACTGGTGAAAGGCTACCCCAAATTTCTGTAATTTATGATGTTTATGTGAAAGACTTGTTGAGAAAATACTTTGGTGATATGAGAAAATCAGTAGAACAAAAGAAGTGCACTGCAAACAATTCTTTTAAAAATATTTGAAGTTGATGGAAGGTTATTTGCTTTGGTGACACCGTGTTTGAGTTCTTCCTTGACCTCRTTATTTCATTCAGCTTCCTTGTCATTTGTTGCCAACAACACAGGCAAGCTCAACCTTTCAGGTGTACTTAGTTATATATGTAAGTCAGCATAAAAAATAATTTGTGAGTGTATGTCAGTCAGTCTGTCTCGGTTTGAGACGATGTTTTCAGAGAGATAYGTTACCAGATAAATGTTTCCTCTGAAGTGAAAATTTTGATAATTTTTTCCCACCAACGTGAAACAGGAGTTTGGGTGAATGTGAAAAGAAAAATAGTTTATTAACAAAACAAGATGCCCACAGGACACTGAGTAACTGTTGGATATTTAAAACTCAGGAATGCCTGCCACCCCCTCACCCCACAGCCGCTCGGCACGTGGTGCAGAGAAAGATGGCATGGCTTTTGTCCTAGGGTAAAAAGAAACAAAAGAAAAAGTCCACTCGGGCAACAGTGGAAAACCTGATGGTAGTCCTCTGGATGAAACAGAGGGCTCAGTGGGCTTTTCTCTGGCTGGCTTGGCTTCTCTGGAGTCTGGGACGAGATGGAGCGGCACCCACTGCTTTTGCCTGCCAGCGCCCGGCTGGTCAGCACTTGCCTCCTGGTTCTCGGACCTCAGCCCCRCCGATCCGCTCCAAAAAATCACAGGAGTAGCAGAAGGGGTGGCGGTCCAGGGAGAGCTGTTTGCCCAAGCTAACAAACCCAAGCTAGTTCAGCAGCAACAATGTAATTCCCTGCATGCAGCGAGCAGAACTCTTGCAGCTCCAAGCTGACATCTAAAAGCCCGCAGCAGCCCCGGCTTTGAACTGCCTGCTCTGCCTTCCCAGCCGCCCCTGCCCCTTCTTCTGGGTCAGATATAAAGGCACAGGCACCTTTTGGGCATACAAGCAGATGGAATATAGGAATAGAGTGTTATCATAAAATCAACCCAAGACACAGAAATAATATGCCATAAATTTCTCATGCAGGATCCACATCTTGACTGCTACACAATGTCCTCTATTAAGGAGAAACTTGGTTGTGACAGAGAGTCTTTGATTGGGCTAGCAGTTCTTCTGGGCTGTGATTATCTTCCAAAAGTAAGCAATATAATTTTTTTTATTGGGTGCTTATACTGTCTTGAAAAACAATTAAGTGTATCAAGGGAGATGTGCATGCTGGCAAAGCCATATTGCAATGCATTATTACTGAGATCCAGTAGAAGATGCATAGTAAGTCGMTGTAAATTCTGCTTGTGAAAGGCTAAAGATAATCCAGAGGGTTTATTAACGTCAGTTGTAGACTATTTTGTTTTGTTCCRAGCCTTTTCTATAATGGAGGTGAAGGTAAAAGTTTAGATGCTGATTACATTAAGCCAAGGTGTCAGAACTCTGTTGTTTGTGAGGATGCTTTGTAAGAAGTCATACACAAATGTATCCCTGGCAGAGTAGATGTGGGAAAGGAAGAAAAAAGGCTTTGTCTGTGATGTTTGGAAGATTTAGTAGTGAAGGTTTTGAACTGTAGTTATTAGTAAARGCAGTTCTGGATGCAGTTTGGATGTATTCCTGTTCCATTGTTCATAAAGRCATAATTTATGAAGAACTAGAAGTGATCTATTTGAAAGTTTACCTAATTAATTAAGAGAAATTTCTCTCATTACTATTTCACTTTTTACTTTTTTTCTTTATTGTAATCTCTTGAATTCTTGAGACTTTGAACAGAAGCTGTTGTAATGGCTATTTGAAAGGGAAAAGAAGTGGGATGAAACTTGATTTCCAGTTCATTATGTAATGACTTCCAGAAATAGTTGCTCCCATTCAGGCTCACAGTGACTATCTAGTTATTCTTAAATAATTGTGTCCCAATTTGATAAAACTGTCCTTTAAACAACTGATACTGCTGGAAAAACACAAACCTTTCATTATTTTTGGTTTGGGTTTTGTTTTGGTTTCTTAAAAATTTTGTTTCCTTTRTAGGAATCTATGTTTGTTACTATTTGTGAAGAGAGGGAGTAAAAAAAATGCTAGATAATCAGTGGTTATTGTACCAAAGCAGCGCCTGGAGTGCCAGGTTCTTACAYAGCCCTAAAGTGTCACAATTATGTGATGTCCAATAGGTTTTTTTGAGTTATTGCAGCTCAGCAAAGTGGATGAAGACAGAAACGTGTAATGAAAGGTAGGAATGGGGATGAGCTGAACAGGTAAATGAGAACACTGTGCTATAATTGCACTATTGTGTTGCAAATACATCAAAATAATGCTTTCCTTGCAGAAGCTGAATATCTGACTCTACTTGAATGTCTGGCTGTAGTCCAAGGAGGACTTCCTTTAGAATGTACATTTATTTTGTATGGTTGCATGTATTCAGTTCTGTCATTACAGCTGAACAAATACAGATTTATTTGTAATGATGCTGCAGAAAGTACACTCAATACACTTATATTTGGCTGTACTGATTATTGGCAAAATAGAGTACAGACGGAAAGAAGAACTGAAAAACAATATTGGTGTTTTAAAKCATAGACTGATACAATAGTTTGGGTCAGAAGGGACCTATGAAGTTCACTTAGTCCAGCCCCATGGCAGTGAGGAATGTCTTCAGTTAGACCAGGTCACTCAGAGCCCATCCAACCTGAATGTTTCCAGAATGGAGCATCTATCACTTCTCTGGGCAACCTGTGCCAGTGTTTCACCAYTTCATTGTAACTTCTCTATTCTGAATCTACATTATTYTAGTTTGTTATAGCTTTCTCCTTTTTCCTTTGCCTTGTTTTATTTGAGGTGCTATTGGGCATAAAAACAATGTGTTACACTGGAAGTACAGTTCTAATCTGTCACCTTATTGGCCCTTAGATCTTGGTCAAAAATATTTTTCTCAATTTATTCTCAACATCTGGAATCACTATATATCATTTCTCTACATAATATTTTAAAGGTGGTTTTTGTGAGAATATGAATATTTTGTTTGTAATTAAGTAATGTTTCATATTTCTCTGTAGGGAGTTCCAGGAGTTGGGAAAGAACAAGCTTTAAAGTTAATTGAGACTCTGCGAGGTCAAAACTTACTGCAGAGGTAACATGGAAATTTACATAAGTGCTTTGATTTTATTCAAAGACTTAATAGTATCTACTTCCGCTCCAAGACAATATTTGTAATACTTTAATTTAGGGAGGATATTACCATATTCTTTACCTTGTGTTTGCTAAAGGAATTGTGTGATTTCCTAGGCAAGTTTCTTAATTGTTTTAAACATTAGGTGGCTCCTAGCTCTTGATCTAGCAGGTGTATATTGATATATTGGAGTCAAAGTTGTAGAGACTGATGAGAGGCTTTCTGATTTTTAATTGGATTGTGGATGAGGATTGAGAGACTGATGAGAGACGTGATGATTTTTAATTGGATTGTGGATGAGGATTTGAGATACTGAGTGCTTTCTATATTGATTATCGTAATGTGTATGTCAATACTAGAAATCCAACATGATGTACGACAGAAGAACCCTGTTTTGTAGGTTGGAAAACTGCTTCTTGGATAGATGCTTGAGAAATATAAAGAGAATATTTTTCAGTGTTTGAAGTGTGAAAGCTAAAAATATTTCTTGATCCTTTTAACATCATCCTTTTAGGTTTGAGCAATGGAAAGAACAATTTCAGTATGATGATAATCCACCTTTGGTTGTTAAAAGAGTAATTCACTGTTCAGAGTGCCATCATCCAGGTCAGTGTGAAAAGTTTTGAATTGTATTTTTAGCTCAGTTGATTGCTTTTTATTATGGGATGAGGGGTGATGGTTTTTGTTTGTTTGATTGGGTTATGGGTTTTTTTACTACTAGCATTAAAAATGCTTTTCAGCTTCTGGACCATCTTCATGTATTCAATATTGTGTATATGTGACCTTATACCAGCACTTTCAAGGCTTGAGACTACTTTTCTTCAAATGTAAAACTAGTTGACAGCAGATGGGATGTTGTCACAATGCAGTTGTGAGATCCCAGATATTTGCCCTTTTAAGATTAGTAAAGATAGTATGTTATTCTCTGTACTGCCCAGCAACTACTTCTTTAGTTGCCTGAATGGGTGCTGCATCAAGAAGACTGAATCTTATTAGCATTGATGGGGTTTGCTGCAGTGTTTTCTTGAAAACACAAGGACCCTTATTTTGGTATCATCTTCAAAAAAAGTCTTCAAAAAGTCTTCAAAAAAATGGAAGCTTGCATGTATTTGTCAGTTTTTACTGTACATCTATAAATGCAGGTAATGCACTCCGATCTCCTTACATCAGATTCATACATGTTCTGAGCTTTGTATTTGTAATATTAGCTTTATAGATTCTGGAAAACCCTTCTCTCTTTGTGTGTCTGCTGCTGTAGGGTCTTACAAGGAACATGAGCAGAGTGGATGCAAATTCTGTGAAAGCATGAGATGCTGCAAACCCAGTGATCCCAAACACTGCTGCCCTTGTGCATGGCATCAGTTGGAGCGAGTGAAACAAGCAAACGCAGTGGAGGACAGTATCAGAAAGTAGGAATGGCCTGAAAATTTAACTGCTTCTCCCTGCATTCATGTGCAGGATGAGCATTTAGATTCTGCATTTTTCACATTTGTCCTCAGTTCCTAATACATTTGTTTTACCTGCAGAAAAGCCAAGAGCTGTGAGGGYTTTCCATTCTCCGAGGTAACAAGCAAGCCTACTTATTATAAATTCATTTAATCAATTAGTTGAAATKTCAATTTTCTGCTCTCTCTTAAACTATCTTTTTTTATGTTTTAACTCAAGGTTATCCAAGAGTTTCTTGTAAACAAGAATAAATTGATCAACCTAAAGGAATGTCGAAGGCCAAATTTATTGTCCTTTCAGGTACATTACAAAATATAGACATTCAGCTTTGTAGTCTTTTATTTATTACTAAGGAAGGCATCTTCCTTAATAATAATTGGTAATTATGATTACAAGTGGTAATTGTGATCTTCATTGGGAATTTTACTGGAAATAAGAATTAAAGAATCTTGCTACACCATCTTGATATACTTCACTTTAGAAAGCTGAGAATTGAAGACTTTGGAAAAAAATCAGTTGCTGTAAATAGGTATATAGAAAAGTGGAAGAAAGAGAAACCTCACTTGTCAGTGCTTTGTTTTTCATTGTCCAGTATTACTAGATGGGAGTGAGGGTGTTGGTATATGCACATTAGCATTGTTTTCTAGGAAGGCTCTTTACTTGTGTTTTATTGGCAAAAACACATCTCTTACAATGTTTTATTTTTGGGGATTGATGACGACATTGTAAGAATTGTGGACAGTACAGTAGACCACAATTAAACGATGTGACTTTAATGAGAATCCATGTTCATTCTCTCACATATGAAATCTGTAACTTTCACAGCTCCTTGCAGAGCTGATCTGAATCTGACAATGTGTTTAACAATGGTCTGCTGCCACCGCAGTTGTTCCCTCAGCTTGTCACTGACAGCTGATGAATGTCCCCTGGTAGGGATGACTGTTCCCTGCCTTGGCAGTGAGATGTTGTTGGGCRTTACACTGATGTATAAAAGCACTCTAGATATTTTAAGTATTTWGTCCRGTRTCCCAACTACATAACTATCCAAGCRTGATATCTAACAGAATAAAGAAAGTTCTAAAGTTTGGATTTTTTTTTAATACAAACAGATATTTGCTTCAGAGAAGATGGAATGGCCCAAACATTAYGCTTGTAAGAAACTTCTAGCACTTTTGACACGTTATGATATGATCCAGAGAAAATCTGGATACATTGACTCAAAACAACTGCAGGCAATAAGGTAAGGTAATTTGATTTCTTGAACTTAATATGTTTACTTTTTTCTGCTGACAGACAGAAGCACAGGGTTTTTACATAAAAAAAAGGAAATAGTTTTCTTCCATCTTTGTTTCAAGCTTTGTGCTTGTTTTGAAGAGTCAAAAAAGTAGATCAGTGCACTATTTCTTTTACTGCTGCACAAAGTAATACATAAAAGTTTCTTTTCACTCTTTGATGAATGGATTGACATTCTCTGTTTATAACACTTTCTAGTGTGTCAAGAGTTTAAGAGACAGAAAGCAGTGCATGCTCTCAAGGATTTCTTTTGTTAACAAGTGTTTAAAAATGCAATAAGGTTTCATCAGGATCAGCATGATCCTACTCTTCACATTTAGGAACCTACTAAACTGTGGTGTAAATAATGTTTTTTTAAAAAATCTCATAGTGACTGATTATCTCTGCACAATTGAAGTTCTCCCCTCATGTTCTCATGCAAAAGATATAAATGACCCTATCTGGTCATTCAGAAAAATACAACAGCCTTCTCTGGCATTAGTATCTTCAAATGATAGAATCATTTAGTTGGAGAGGTCCAACCATTAACCTGACACTGACAAATCCACCACTAAACCATGTCACTCCAGTGCCACATCTACACATCTTTTAAATAAAATATCTCCCAGGGATGGTTGCTCAACCACTTTCCTGGGCAGTTTGTTCCCATGCTTGACAACCCTTTTCTTGAAGAATTTTTTCCTAATATCCATTCTGATCTTCCCCTGATATATCTTGATATTTCCTTTATCTTGTCACTTGGGAGAAGAAACTGCCCCTTTCAGGCAGGTCAGCTGAAGATACCAAATGATGTTTGTAGGAGTCTGCATTATGTGTGTTTGTTACAGAAAAGCTTTTTTTATTTTGTGTAAATACTCTTCTGAGTGTCAAAAGAAATAAAAATGTTTTGGTGCTCAAATCTATCTCCAAATTTTGCTGTACAGAGTAGTCTATATTTTTTAAAAGGTGTAGTAATTTCAATTTTACGAGAATATTTTTTTCTCTGAATCATTCCAAGTTAGAATATTGAAATATTTTTTAATTTTAATCTAAATTTAAGTGATTTAATGGACTTTCTCTTCTTACAGGATTGTTAAGACACGTGTTAAAAATGGAATTCCTTGTTTTGAAATTGAATGGCAAAAACCAGGTGGGTCTCATTTCCATATACATTATGTAACAAAACAGTTCATAGAAAAAGACAAAAACAAGCTTTAAAGAGGCAAAAGTTTGGCAACACTCTGAGGCAATGAAATGTGGGTGAGATTGAWAACTATTATGTGGAAACAACAGAAAATGTGCATCAAATTTCAAACACCCTGAAAGTAAAAATAATGCTTTAAAGAGAAAAAAAAAAAAAACCAAACCTAGAAGGCAAGGGACTCAGTTTTCAACTACTTTTTCTTGTACATGTAAATAAGACATGAACTGGGTATTTCATACCTTATATTTCACTATGTACCTAAAGCTGTGACTATTTACTAGCTAGAAAATTTTCTGTGCTGTCAGACTCCTCCCTGTAGTGTGTCTATTTGTGACAGGAGACTGGCAGAAGAAAAAGACTTCATTAGTAGGTAAATCTCAAATATCATACTATTGACTTTACATACCTTCTTTGTACTCAAATCTTTGCTGTTTGGGTTTTCATTCTCTGTTTTGACATATATATATATATATATCCATGTCTAAAGCACATACATTATTTTTTCAGAACATTATGTTGATCCAGAAGATGAGCCTGTGGAGTTGTTTGTAGCTACAGTAGAAGAAGAGTCTTTATTTCAGGCTGCTTATCCTGATATTGTTGCCCTCTATCAAATCGAAAAGTCAGAAGTTCTTCAGAAGAAACAGAAAAGTAAGTCCAGAAGCTTATTTCTTACGACTTTATGGGTCTTGCCAGAATGTAAAAAAGCAAAAAGCATCTCTCCCACTCTTGAACGATATCATGTCAAAACAAGATGAGGTCATGATTCCTTGCAGGTACTGTTGCTTTGATCTTACTATTTTATACTTTAGCACTAAGAAATCTGAACTGTGATTTATATGCTATTTGAAGTGCACTTTTTATTACTTTTTTTCAGAAAGGAAAGACAAACCAGAAGGAAAGGAATTACCAAATGCTTATGATGAAGTTACCAATCTCYTGTCTCAAATTAATTTAAAGCCTACATACAGAGTTCTTTCTGTGCAACACTCCACATCAGATACAAAAGCTCCCCCAGAAGATCAGACACAGCAGAGAAGTACTGGATCAAAAGATGCAGCATTAGCTGCAGCTTCCTGTGTAACAACAGTTCATATGCCAGCATCAGCAGCTGCTCTTGCTGACTCATCCCTGCCCTCACAATGCACTGAGTATTCAGGGATATCATCCTCTTCTTCTGTACCAGCTGATCTGCAACTGGGCAGTGCTGATGGGAARGGAGCCTCCTTCAGCTCTTCACCAGCCTGTGGAGGTGATGACCATGATCCAGCAGCTCACTTAACTGCCTGCATAAAACACTCACATCCACTGGGTCACAAACCAGTAAGAAATAGCTCAGAATATTCTGATGTTACTCAGTCTGATACACATTCTGATAGTGAAGATGATTTGGTTTCAAGTGATGCTATGGGACAACTTCATAAGTGGTCATTAAGCGAGCGAATACTTCAAAAAGTTCCCATTTCATCACAGCCTTTGTCTGAAGATGTAATGCAAGTGGAGTCTTTGAAATGTTTTAAACAAACAAAAGAACCATTGAATCCTCATAGAAATCATGTCTCTTCCTCATGTCAGTTAGGTAAACCTGTGCAGGAAAGTAAAAACGTTCTATCAAAAAAATCTGCAAGTGAATCCAGAGTACATAYCTATCAAGATGAGAACAAAAAAGCTGACATCCTGGCTGAAATGATGCAAAAAGACCCTTATATAAATGGTTCAACATCTCTAGCCTTCAGTGGGCAAACAACAGAGACACTTCATCCTGGGTATGAAATACATCCGGCATCTCAAAAACCAGCAGATGCAACTGGCTGTCACRTTAAAGAAGCTTCCATTGAAACTGCATGGAAAGCTTCTTCTAAAAAGAGTGTGTGTCAGAACAAATGCTCTTCTAGCGAAGACAGTGATGATGGACACTTGGATAAAATGCTGGTTCATGAGCAGTGGAAAAGACAACTGAACCCTGCCCAGTTTAAAAAATCTTTTACAAAGAAAAGGAGTACTGTTGTTACCAGCAAAAGGACAAACAGTGACTCAGCCCTTACAATGAAAGGGAAAGATACAACGACCAATTTAAAGAAAGCTGTTAATAGTTTCTCAGTGCAAGTATCTCTGAAACCATCTTCTGCAGAGGCAATTAATTGTTCCCAAAGTCCAGAGCAACCAGTTGAGAGACTGGGTTCTGATCCCACACAGCAAGACAAAAGCACTGTTCTGGCTTATGCATGGGCAGACAGTCCCCTTCCCCTGTCTGAAAGACTTAAAGGAAGAATCAAAAGCAATTAGTTCTCTGTAAAATAGATTATGATAACAATTCATTATCAGTTAACTGTCATTTAATTGACAGTTGAAGATTTCTTTCTCAAAATTTCTGCAGCACACTCTGTCATTTCTATATGGACGCAGTTTTGGTGAATAGGAAATACTRTCACTGGAGCTGAAGTTTGAAACTAAAATGTTAACAGAAGTACCAAATAATTGATTGTAGGCAAGTACCAGTGATTCTGGGTGTGTTTACATCCTGAACTTGATACATAAGCATCAGGATACCATATGCAAGGATGAAGGAGATCTGTCTAAGAAAAAGGTTTTTATTCCCAAACAATTGTGAGGATTTTGTGTACAGCTATTAGTCTTGCTTATAAAAACRGGCTTACTAAAATAGTGCCTGCAGTGCTGTTGGATACTCTTAATGAGAAAAAGTAATGCAGCATTTTGAAACTGAAATTCTCCATTCTGCTCCATTGACTTAATTTTGCAAGTTTTGAAATGGAATTTGACATCCTGTGTTTTCTGGTTGTGTTGACGATCTCTGAAGGACCAGATAGAGACCCACAGCAGATATACCTTGCAGGGTAGCTGAATTTATATCTATCATGCCCCGTAAKAAGCTATTCTTTAGGTATGTACATCTTCCAAAAAGTGGAATAAGCCATGTAAGGATACTCTGGTTTTGTAGCTGTCATATCTATTAGTTAAGAAAATTTGATGACTGTTTTAATTAAGCACTTAAAGTTTAGAGCATTTTTTCTTAAAGAAGGTTGAAATCCTATCTAACRTTCACTTCAGTTCATAATAGAGTGAAAGTTACAGAAAATCTAATTATGATGTGGCAGATTCTTTGAATAATATTGTGTACATGGGGKTTTTTTAAAGGGGAAACTTGAGTACAAAATTACAGTTTGGAAGGTGCTCTTCCTACTTTATTATAGGAGCAATCTCTGTTCATACACCAATCTTCAACAGTTACCTGTTGAAGGAATGCCTCCTTGTCTGTATTTAAGTGTTTGTAACTTTTGCTGTGCAGCAGCCAAAAGGAAGGTGACTCTTGCCAAGATATATTGTTAACAATAGAAATTGAGGATATCTATGCCTTAGTGAAAATGTCAGTTCTTCATAATGGCCAAGGACCAAGTTCAGAGGCTAAATTCTAGATGTATTTAAGGAASACATAGGTAGCCTGTAGATAATAGTCTGTAATTAGCCAAAATGATAGTTTCTTAGTTTACTCTGTGGGCAGATAGAAAATTTTTATTTATATTTGATTTTTCCAAATGAGAAATGTATTCTAGAAATGAGAAAAGCATCAAAAATATTGGAAACTTACTTTCAGTTTTGAAGATGATCTTTGTCTTCTGAAGACTCTTAAGCACCGAGCTGATGTGAGAGGGTAGCTGGAAGAATAGTATTGTCAAGGAGAGTAGGTGTCACCTGGGGACTGCAAATGGAGAGATTCATAGCATGACAGAATGCTGGGGTTGGRAGGGACCTTAAAATCATCTAKCTYCAACCCCCATTCCATGGGCAGGGAACCAATCCTTATGGAGTGGTCAGTAATGGAGAGATCTSAATGGAGTTTTTTGTGRAAAACCATTGTTCTTGGTTATGTATGAATTTTTTTTTCCCCTTGCTGATGATTATGAATACTGAAAGTTGAAATCAAGTGTTTAAATTTTCATTAATAAAAATGCCAACATCATGCAAATAAACTTTCTACTGTTCCCTCCCAGGGTATGRGAATGTCCTCTTGGGGGGATCATTCCATTTCACCCACAATGTGTGAATTTCTGTGGTTTAGAGCTTTCTGTAGAATTGGGGCAYCAGAGTGGTTTTTGGAGGCAATTTTCTTTGTTTTCCAAATCTGCTGGGAATGACTGCCTTATTGGATGAGGAAATGAAAATACTGTGTCAGAATTATGACAAGTTCATATTTTGTGGATGATGAAAGTCAGAAATGAGGTRAGAACTGCAGAGGAAAAAAATATTGTGTTGCTGATTTTTCCTACTAATTTGGTTTCGCAAGAACAGTTCAAGCATGAAAAGCAGAAAATTTTMTAATTTTTTCATATGTAATGCATCTACTTTTTGTGCCATTTTTCTGCCACTACTTTAGAAGCAGCAATAGATGTGAAAAAACAACTGTGTAGGATGCTCCCTTTTATTTAGGCTGTAGCTGCTCACTGCAGCAAATAAAAACATTTATTATTGGGGTTGACTGTTGCTAGAATTAAACTTGTGATTCATTACTGAAGGGTAATTACAGATTTTAAAGTGTTTTGGTTTCTCATCTTTATGTAATTTACTCATTSTGAAGATTAGGGATGATTTTTCTTTGGAGCTTTCTACTGTGCTGACTGCTCTGCAACCTCTCACACTTGTGAGAATGATGTTTAAATAAATTCAGGGGGTGTAACRTAACTTTTTTCTGCAGGGAATATTTCTACAGGATTATGTTTAACTGTCTGTAAAAATAAATCAATGGATGCATCAACCTCATGAGGCTGAATAGATTTTCATTTATCATCTGTCCTGATCTGTCCAAATAGGCTCTACCAGGGTGCTTCATACAAAGTAATGAAAATGTACCTACTATGGAGGTGGGGCAGGTAAGTGGCTCATCCGTCCTAAAGTAGTTTTCTGAAAGATTTTCTGCACAACTACTGTCCCAGCCCAAGTATTTTACCTGATCTATCACTCTTCATGCTGGCATCCCTCTAGCTTGAATGATGCTCACAGAGATACAGAGCAGAGCCATAGGTTCTGTCTTAGTATGAATATCATTATTTCCACTTTTAAACAGTATTAAACATTAGTTAAATACAGCTCATTTGTTTAGCATAGTCTAACAACGTGAAGTGTTTACTTGGCATTCCTTAGGATTGTAACTCACTCTTTCAGGCCCATAATCAATAAGAAAGCAAAATAAATGCTGTTTACATGGGATATATACATAGAGAGCTCAAAATAATATATAATTTAGAAGAAAAGACCACCTCAATATCTATGCACCACTGTCATTTCTCAATTGGTAGAGGTTATTGAAATATTTACCCACATCTGTGAACCTGCCTAACAAACAAAAATTTAGTGAATGCAATAAAGCTTTTGCTAGTTAGCTAAGAAATTTCCTAATTTGAGAAGGGGATTATTTAACTTTGAGGATTTGCACAACTTTGGCCCTCTGCTCTTAATGTCAAGGAAGATGCTTGGAAGTGAAGTGTGGAAAGAGACTAATGGCAGCTGTTACTTGAGACAAGATAGTCTTTTCATGTCTAAAAAGGTGTCAGGCCCTGCCATATTATATCAGCAGATAAAAGGAAGCTGCAGTTAGAATATTACTGAGAGCTGTTGTAAACCCAAGTGCTACTGACGAAACCCTAAACTTGGCGTGAGATTTGGCGCTTTTTCCTTCAGGAAACAAAACACTTTAACGGTTTCAAGAAAACAAAATTACCATGGGTGACAGAACCACTCTGCACAGTTCTCTTGCTCATGTATCCTGMATTGTGACTATTATCAGTACTGAATTTAAGATTAATCACATATAAAACTTAAAAGGTTCTTTAAGCCCAAACCTCTCCACCCCTGCCCCAGTTTCCTTTGACCAAGTTGTAGAAGTTTTGTCACTTCAGAGACTGAGCATAACTGGAGAAAGGGACAAACCTTGAAAAATTTTGCTCATTAAAAACAGCTACCTCTACTAACATTTCTGACATATTTAATTAGCTGCCTGAATAAAAATCATGAAGGAAAATAATCGAATATTTTTATGACAACATAGTGTTGAAGTAGTTCTATGTTACTATTTGTTATTTTAATATTTTATGTTAAAATGCAATTTGCTCTGCTAAAGCACCTCCACAGCCAAGCTTGAGGCCCAGTTAGTTGTCTTACCAAATATTTTTCTCCAAGATTGGATCTGGGGCAAGCTGTGATTATTCTTTGGGACATGGTAGAAGGACATGTGAGTGTGGTCTGTTTGGATAAATTCATGGGCAAAGTAGAGGAATCCTTACATGCTCTCTTCTTCCTCCATCCCAATGTCCCAATGTTGCTCTGGCACTGACACCACATAACAACAGACAAACAAGATGGGCCCRACCCTAGACATGGTCCAAGTTTTATCTGCTTCAAAAACATTRAATTTGTGGCCCCATTTGAGGTCTAATTCAGGCTGTCTTCCCAGCCAACRTGAATGCCAGATCTCAGAGCAGCATTAGCCTTTAAGATTCTGTCACTCAGCCCACTGCAATGTATTGTAAAGGTTTCTTTGAACCTTCTGCACTGGGGAGTTAAATTTGCTCCTTGWTCTACATCTGGGCAAAACCAGGACAGGATGGGAAACAGGCTCAGAATTCCCAAAACCTGGGGCTTAATGGAACAAAGGGCTTCAAGAGTGACAGCCACATGTGGCTTACCTAATGTACGGGGACTTTGTGGAGCTTTATCTTCAGACTAAAGTGTTGCTAGTTTTTCTAATTATAGAATGGCTTTTTTATCGAATCAGAGGTGCCAGTTAGAAATGGGGAATATAGTCTGATTTCTGCTAATTAGTGCTAATCATGTCTCCCTGATGGAGAGAAATCAGCAGTGGCTCTGCTGACAGCCCCCTGGGCAGCCAGCTCACATTGCTCCCCTCAGCTGTGATGTGGTCTCTCTTTGGTTCTCAGTCACAAAAAATATGGAGGGTGCAGGAGGAGTACATGAGGATKTAAAGGTTTTGCCTTGAATTATAAAAAACTGAGAAAGGTAATGCTGGTCTTATAGAGAAGTTTAGGAAATACAGCAGAAGGACGAAAACTAGAGTGAGGTGGCATGGGGTGTAAGTGAATCCTGAAATCCCAAGCACTTGTGTTGCCAGATTTGGTAMAACCTCCTAACAAAGCCCAAGACATGCAGATCAGCAGCTGTGCCTTTGCACAAACCCAGCMTAATTGTTATCTGCCCTGTGTATGGCTCCTACTATAATTTTTAGTGAGGCATGAACTGCCCAGCATCATCTACTGATTTTCTGTTACCTTTTAACCTGAAAAATGTGAGCTTTTACAGCATGGTATCAGGCAGTGATTTTTGTTCTCTATGTATTTCTTTTTTATCAGGAAATTAGTAGGATCTGTAGGTGTTCTTCCTATCAAGTCCAAGGGAAGGTGATAGGTTTGTGCTCACACATCTCCATGCAGAAATACACCTTTGTTCTGGTGTCTACTTGAATGCCATMATCAAAGAGGATGTCACTTTGTTTCCCTTTCTAAAAATCCCAAATCATTTTGCGGATTGCTTAGAATTTGCAGGAAAGATACTTGGGAAAAATTGTAGCTTTCTGATCTTTGTGWTTTCTAAAGAAATACTGTTTTCAGTTGATTGTATATTTTTATTTTCTCCCAGCATTACAGTCAGTTGCTAACTGTTACGGTTTTTAGTGTGGCAATAGTAAAAACTTACAGAATATGTTCTTCTGGTGTTCTCTTTTAAGAAAATTCTTTTTAGCAATACAGTAGAAAACACTTCAATAATCACATAGATAAGAGTTTCTGAGATAGAATAATGAAATCAAGCAGGACAAACAGTGATATCTTCTATTTGGGGTTGGTTGTGGCCTTTTTCATCTTCAAAGGCCAAGTTTCTATTTGCCAAACAAACCTTTATCTAGAACCTTCTAATCCAGAACCTTCCATATTGTAATATCTGGTGTTAGTAGTTTGGAAAGTGGCTGAAAACCATCCTGTAATAATGTATTGATTTCTGTATAGCACTCTACATATTTAATAAAAAAAAATTGGTAAAAGGCCACTTATTCTTTGCTACATATTTAATTTAAAAAAATGGTAAAAGGCCATTAATTCTTTGCTTGTTCTGTYATCTAGTTTTCTTACAGAGAGAGCATTCCTCTCCCCACACTGATAAGCTGAAGAATATAGCTCTGTAAAATGGGTATGTGGCTCTGGCATTGAAAATGTTTGCATTTTTACAGGGAACTGAACAAATCCATCAAGATTATATTCCTTCCAATAATAGTGATGTATATCTTGCAAAAACTTCTTTGTGACAACATATTTACCTCGTAAGATGCCAGCAATTTAAGTGTAAGATTTTGTTTCTTTTTTATTACAAAACCAAACTGTTTGTGCTGGGAAGCCATAAGTTACAGATTCAGAATAAATTGTTATCGACAAWCGTTGGTGCCTTCCAATGGCCAGGCCACTCTTACCACAGAAGCCAAAGACTTGCAGCTGCTTTGACATGACAGTGAACAAGGAGATTTCAAAGCTGTAGGATCCTCATCCATGTGAGTTTCTATATGACCTTGTATAGGCCCTCTTGCATGGAAATCTTACAGCTTTGTTACTTGTCCCTGTGGAAAAGACATGAGTTTGTATATTGTGATTAACTGGTGTTAGAATATAACCTGAGTCACTGTGGTGGGATTAATGTTTTAGAGGGGAGAATAAAAAATCTGACCAACAGAAGAGCCAGTGAGGCACAAAGTGTCCCTGGTGCAGGAAGGAGTTACCAGCACAGATATTCTGGGAATTCTCACCAGAGCCACCTGAGGACCCCTTCTGAAGACACTTGAGGAGCTCAGGGTCCCCATTCAGCTTCCCTCAGACATCACCTCATCCAACCCAACCAAGAACTTTCTCACAGCAACTCTTTCACGTTCCAAATAGAGTTCTTTAAAACCTCTCTGCAGCTGATCATTTAACAAAATGCCATGCTAGGATTTCCCCTTATAAATAAAGTACAATGCAATTGTGGGGTTTATAACTCTTGCTCTAGTAGTCAATTAGATTGTTCAAATATTCTATTACATCACTGAAACTATTCACAAAAAACCTCAAGATATAGTACCTCTTAGGAAAGTAATTATGTTTGCAGAGTGACAGCCAAAAGTAAAGATGGGTTCAGCATCTATTTGGAGTTCACACAATTTAGGACGTGGACATTAAAAAATTCCCCTAAATGTGATTCAAGCTAAGAAGCCAGTTGATAATTGCCATTATATCAATCACAGTATCTCATAGTTTGGCAGTGAAAAGGAGTGGCTTATTGTCAGTGCTSTTTTATTAATCTATTGTCACAGATCTCACTTTAACTTTAATAGCAACACTATGTGATCACATATTTTATTTATGGATCATTTGAAGAATCTGTTATGCAGATATTCGGATTAGTGGGCTATCAAACCATTAGCCAAATAAATCTAAAGGTAATAAAACTCACAGGAAGATAGATGGYTTTCTTTTTCTTGTTCTTTTCAGCTAATTCAGGCTAATTTAAGCCTTTCACAGAATGGTGATAATGAAGGATTTGTTCTCAGCAGCGTTATGGCAGGTGATTTGCATTTGAAAGTTTGACACATTTATAGGCCTTTGATCTTTTCCCTTCAGTGCTTGTGCCCCTGGCCAGAGACCTACATGCACATTTTACCACGTGGAAGATCTAGGAGCAAAAGCAGCTCTGAGAGCYACCCTGAAGATGTACAGTAGAAAA